TCACGAACCGGGCCATCCGTGCTGTCGACTGCCTTGCCTCTGCACACGTTCCGGCAGGGGACCGTCCGTTTCCCCCTCCGACTGCGGCTGACCGCCTCTCTGTAAACTATACAGTGAACTTGCAAAGCGTCTTTATACACACACCCACACTCGACTGTCGCTCTCCGTATTGCCATCCGAATCGGCCCTCGCGTGCTGTCGCGTTAAATACAACTTCTAAATGCACAGCCCTGTGTCACCTCCTCCACCTGCGGTTGTAAACGTCAGCTTTGTGTGCCGATCTGCAGCCCGGCGTCTGCATTGTGCCAGTCCTGGAGATTGATTGACACCTCTCTCTCCTATCCGTCATGCGCATGATGGCAGCAGCAATTTGTTCAGGAGCTCGGTGCCAATGTCGATGTCTGCTGCTGCTGGCCACGACGAAGGGGCCTGCAGGGGAGAGAGGGGGTTCGTGTCGTTTTGCTCCTCCTCCTCTTGTGTTGAAGGAGAGGAGGCTACAGTGGTTTATCCATAATTGAGGGTTTTTGTTGGGGGTTAGATCGCATAAATATAAATGCGTCTATAACCCGCCACCACCCGCCCGACGCAGTCAATTAGTAAGGTTTGTCACGTAAACAAAACGTGCCAATTAGTTACTCGTTCAGCACACCTGTGTGTTGGAGAGTAAACCCACAACATTTGCAATTCGAGTACACCGTTCCGCCGGTAATTACAACCAGTCTCATCAGGCGGCAGCCAGAACAGTTGTTTACTGTACTATTCATTGTTTCGGCGTACATAGCCACAGTCGCATTGCTATTGCTTGTCCTTAATGTACCTCTATCGGTCTCTGTGTGTTTACCAAACGGTCCATAGCCTGGGTTGCATGACCACAAGCGCACTGCAAGCTGTGTGGCTCGGGTGTTCAGCTTTTTTTTCCATTTACGAATGAGATGGGCGCATTATTATTGGCCTGTCGACGATGTTCTCATGCTGTTGATGAGGTCCAACACACGAGTGTCTTGGACGATCGAGATTTCGAAAACCCGCTCACGCCATCACCGCACCTCGGTGGGACATTTACCCCCCCCCCCCCCGCCGAGGGAAATGTGGAATTTCCACCATTGGCTCCGCGCCGTAAACCGGAGGTGAGCACCCGACGGCTCGTGGCTCGCCAGAGAAAGCAAAGCGCTCAGACGTCTTGCCTCTACGACGTCTATTGTTGTTGGAACGTTCCGCAGCACTCTTCAGGGAAAGGGCTGATGGGACCCCAACCATGTCGTCGTCGGTTCCGATTGACAAGGCGTCCAGCCAACGATGCAAACACTGCACACACGCACGAGTTATCACCTCCAGCGTGTAATTACGGTTTTCTTTTTGTCGTCGAAAGTTATTTCGAACGCCTTGTCCGTGGCGTTCCTCGCTCGAGTGTCTCAAAGTGCATCCGACATACTCAAGGCGTCGACGCGGGGTTGGAGATGTGTCCGTTCCTATTAGCGGTACAGAGCCAGTGGCGGGGGTTCCACATTCCTATGGCGAGGATTAACTGCGTCTTTCGTGTGCCCACTGGTAGCTTCGACCAAAATTGTACGAATTTTAACCACCCTGAAATGATGATTGGCTAAAGTGACGCATGCTGTTAACGCGTTGCAATTTATATTCGGCTGACGATGACGCTTAGCGTTGATATATATAGAAAGGTACACGTATCTGTGCGTGTGTAGCTGCTGGGTAAATTGTTACATCGCTTTGGGGAGGCCTTAATCCAGCAGTGGATTGACTTTTAACATAGAATCGTTCATATGGCGAAATATTATACATTATACACTTACGTAGTAAGATGTCCAAAGGACGCGCTGTGTAATGTTGTCTTAAGATGCGTAAGAAGCCGTGTGGGTATTGTGTTGTGTAGAGTGCTGCGCTCCGAACCCGGCAACCCGAGTTCGATTCCCACTCACGGTCAACACCGGTGACGATTATCTGAAGCGGTCCTGGACCTCCCCTAGGTTGAGTCAGCCTCAAATGAGTGCCTGGTGTGGCGTGGGGGAACAAATGCGGTCTGGTGTTGTGTTGGCCTCCCACACTCCTCGTGCGCCGTTCCGGCCTTCATAGGTGCTCGCTGACAGCACCTGCCCCGACAGTCTGTTAAGGCTACACGGGGGATATTTGTCTTTGGGTAGTGCATTGCGTTGTTAGCAATGGAGTTCAACTGATCCGAAGCCGGTGGTGATGTAATCGTCAGTTTGGAATCGCTATTCAAACTATCACCATTCCAAACTGTACGGAATGATTTAAAAAAAATGAATAATCAATCTTCCCCCTTGTAGACTTTTTATAGGCACAAGCGGTGTTAGCGGGCACCTATTAAGGCCAGCACGGCACACCAAGGGGTTTACGTGGCCAGCATCACACTTGGCAGTGGTTAATGTTTATACGCGGCTATTTGCTCATTTTATTCGAGGCTGAGTCGACCTAGAAGAGGCCAAGGACAAGTGCAGATGTCACTTGTGTATAGAGCCGTGGCTGGGAATTGAACTCGACTCGCTGGGGTCGGGAGCGCAGTGCCGAGCCAAAGACGCCCGCCATCGCTGTAACGACAAGGACCCCCCCCCCCCCGTATCGCCTGTTAGGGAGTAAGAGCACCGATGAAGGCCAACACGGCGCACGAGGAGTGTGGGTGGCCAGGCACCACGCATTACCGCTCTTGCATCCCCAGTGGTCCATGTTTTACACACCGCACCGAGTACTCATTTGAGGCTGAGTCGACATTAGGGAAGGAACTAAGTCGACCCAGGGAAGACCCACGGCTGGTTTAGGGTGGTAACGGCAGTGAGCGGGAATCGAACTCGGGTGGCCGGGTTCGTAGCCCACTGCGCTCACCGCTACAAAGATCCCCCGTATAGCCCCCACATACTTTTGGGGGCAAGTGCTGTCAGCGAGCACCTATGAAAGGTCCTCTCCCATACATACACACATGCTGTGTGTGTGGGTGTCTGTATGCACACACCCACACACGCTTATATATAGATGTGTGCGAGTGCGTGTGTGTGTGGTTATATATTCTACACGTGAAGCATCAACTTTCGTAGTGCAATCGGCAATATATAACACCACCAGAGAGTAATTAAAAACAAACGTTGTTTATTTTCGTATGCCAGGGCAGATAACAAAGTGTCAATTTATGACGGCTCTTGAAATATCCAGTACATACTTTTGTTAATAGACGAAGTCTCATACGCACATATATATACAGTTTAGACAGAGATGAGTAAAAAATTCCCCGTAAAGCCTTAACAGACATTTGGGGAAAGTGCTTTTAGCGATCAGCAACCTCAGAAGGTTGGCACAGGCACACGACGGGGTGGGTGGCCAGCACAACCACGCCCGGCCGCCTTTGTCTCCCTAGAGGCGATGTTTACGCATCACAACAGGTACTCATTTGAGGCTAAGTCGACCTCGGGGAGGTCCATGACCGGTTCAGATAATCGGGTCGCGGGGTTCGTAGCACAGGGTGCCAACCGCCCACTACAGTCACTGTCTATATATAAAATATATACACACGTACAGGCGGCTGTAAATATACCGAGTGTGTGTGTGCGTGTGTACTTGATGTGCGCGCGCGTATCGTGTGAGTACCGTATGTGTGTGCCCGCGTGTACGATGTGTGTGTGTATTCGCGTGTACGATGTGTGTGTGTGTGTGTTTACGGTGTGTGTACGGTCTGTGTGTTCGAGTATAGGGTGTGTGTACGGTGTGTGTACGATGTGTGTGTGTTCGCGTATAGGTTGTGTGTACAGTGTGTGCACGATATGTGTGTGTGTTCGCGTATCGAGTGTGTGTACGGTGTGTGTTCGCTGTTATGGGTGTGTGTTCGCTGTTATGGGTGTGCATACGGTGTGTGTGTGTGCTCGCGTGTCCGGTGTGCGTACGGTGTGTGTGTGTGTTCGCTGTTATGGGTGTGTATACGGTGTGTGTGTGCTCGCTGTTATGGGTGTGTGTACGGTGTGTGTGTGCTCGCTGTTATGGGTGTGTGTACGGTGTGTGTGTGTGTGCTCGCTGTTATGGGTGTGTGTACGGTGTGTGTGTGTGCTCGCGTGTCCGAGTGTGCGCGTACAGAGTTTGAGTCCGCGTGCCCTGTGCGGAATTGCGGGTGTAATGGACGGGTACCCGCTCCATCTCGGGTCACGGCCGATGCCGTGAATGCCGTGGTTGGAGCGTGCGAGGTGGCGTAATGTCACGAGAGAGAGAGGGAGGGAGCCACTTATAACCCATTGAGTCACTGTAATAATTAAATTAAGATAACCGTATTCTCCCGATTATAAGACCCCTCCCCCCACCCCTAAGCCGAGCAGGCCCCACTGCCCTGTCCCTCCCCATGCGTTTTAAAGCAAAGTTTGGAGGACTTCTGTAAATCCGGTAGGATTACTTCGATGAACTATCACCACCAGAGTGTGTATTAGTGTCCCGAGAGTCCTATAATATGGACATGATGATGATGATGATCATTTGCCCAATCCACTTCAACGTGAAAAAGGACTCCGCGTGTCTTTGCTGGTTTCGTAGGGGGTTGTTTGGCCAGACTTCGCCACGCTAGTAAGAGCGACTCGGTCAAGTGAGGTGGGGCGCTCAGGTTCTGGTTCAGATAATCACTCGCCACTGATGTTAGCCGCGGTGGGAAATCGAACCCTCGGTTGTCGAGTTAAGTGACCAGTGCACTAACAACCCGCAAAAATTGTCGGCTCTTGAAAAGCGCACAATAATGAAGACAAAGGACAAAGTCCCCCGTATAGCCTTGACCGACTTCTGGGGCAAGTGCTGTTAGTGAACACCTATGAAGGCCGGCACGGCACACGACGGGGTGGGTCGCCAGCACCACGTCTTTGTCTCCCTAGTGGCGATATTTACACATCGCAGCTGGGACTAATCTGAGGCTGAGTCGACCTCGGAGAGGCCCAGGCTCGGTTCAGATAATCGTCATTGGTGTTGGTGGTCGTGAGCGGGAATCGAACTCGGGTCGCCAGGTTCGTAGCGCAGCGCGCTAGCCACTGCGCCACCGCTCCCCTATAAGCAAACACACACAGAGACAAACACACACAGAGACAAACACATACACCCATACAAACACACCGTTTCCGAAATAGTTTCGGAGAAAGTGTACCAGAATTTGTGTTCTGAGTAAGAATGCATGGGAGTGGGGGGGTTGGAATGCGTAAATAATATCACGTACATTAAAACTGTTCCGATGATGATCGTGACGATGGAGAATATGAAGTCGATTATCTACTCGAAGGACCCAAAAGGCGATGTCACGTGGCGTGCTATGTCGGTCTATACTGCCAGAAAGCTATCACCTGCGGGCACAGAGACAGCAGTACTTCAAGTCGCAACACATCGTGCGCTAAAGTACATGCAGTTATAAGTGTATCCATTGTGTTAATAGGCAATTCATCATTCACGCATTGTTGTGTATGGGTTTTGAAAAAATCAATTATAGCTATAAAAGACGAAAGCAAGAAATTATACGTGAATTTAAAAAAAACATAGTGTGTCTGCCACGGGTCGTATTTTGTGTGCTCTTGTGGTCACAATTTGGGTTAGGCGTGTGTGTGGGTGTGTATGTGTGGGTGTGTATGTGTGTGGGTGTGTATGTGTGGGTGTGTATGTGTGGGTGTGTGTATGTGTGGGTGTGTGTATGTGTGGGTGTGTATATGTGTGGGTGTATATGTGTGGGTGTGTGTATGTGTGGGTGTGTATATGTGTGGGTGTATATGTGTGGGTGTGTGTATGTGTGGGTGTGTATATGTGTGGGTGTGTGTATGTGTGGGTGTGTATGTGTGGGTGTGGATGTGTGGGTGTGTATATGTGTGGGTGTGTATATGTGTGGGTGTGTGTATGTGTGGGTGTGTGTATGTGTGGGTGTGTATATGTGTGGGTGTATATGTGTGGGTGTGTATGTGTGGGTGTGTATATGTGTGGGTGTGTATATGTGTGGGTGTGTATATGTGTGGGTGTGTGTATGTGTGGGTGTGTATATGTGTGGGTGTGTGTATGTGTGGGTGGGTATGTGTGGGTCTGTATATGTGTGGGTGTGTATGTGTGGGTGTGTATATGTGTGGGTGTGTATATGTGTGGGTGTGTGTATGTGTGGGTGTGTATATGTGTGGGTGTGTGTATGTGTGGGTGTGTACATGTGTTGGTGTGTGTATGTGTGGGTGTGTATATGTGTTGGTGTATATGTGTGGGTGTGTATATGTGTGGGTGTGTGTATGTGTGGGTGTGTATATGTATGGGGGTGTGTATGTGTGGGTGTGTATATGTGTGTGTATGTGTGGGTGTGTGTATGTGTGGGTGTGTACATGTGTGGGTGTGTGTATGTGTGGGTGTGTATGTGTGGGTGTGTGTATGTGTGGGTGTGTATATGTGTGGGTGTGTGTATATGTGGGTGTGTGTATGTGTGTGTATGTGTGGGTGTGTGTATGTGTGGGTGTGTATATGTGTGGGTGTGTGTATGTGTGGGTGTGTGTATGTGTGGATGTGTGTATGTGTGGGTGTGTATATGTGTGGGTGTGTATATGTGTGGGTGTGTGTATGTGTGGGTGTGTATATGTGTGGGTGTGTGTATGTGTGGGTATGTGTATGTGTGGGTGTGTGTATGTGTGGGTGTGTATATGTGTGGGTGTGTGTATGTGTGGGTGTGTGTATGTGTATGTGTGGGTGTGTGTATGTGTGGGTGTGTATATGTGTGGGTGTGTATATGTGTGGGTGTGTGTATGTGTGGGTGGGTGTGTATATGTGTGGGTGTGTATATGTGTGGGTGTGTGTGTGTGGGGGGGGGGGGCGGTAGTGTAGCGGTTAGCGCGCTGCGCTACGAACCCGGCGACCCGAGTTTGATTCCTGCTCACGGTCAGCACCGGTGACGATTTTCTGAACCGGTCCTGTGCCCTCTCCTAGGTCGACTCAGCCTCAAATGGGTATCAGGTGCGATGTGTAAACATTGGCACTGGGAAGACAAAGGCGGCCGGGTGTGTTTCTGGCCTTCCACCCCCTCGTGTGCCGAGCCGGCCTTCATAGTTGCTCGCTAAAAGCACTTGCCCCAACAGTCTGTTAAGGCTACACGGGGGATCTTTGTTTTGTTTCGTGTGTTTGTATGTGTGTATATATGCCGTGTGTATTTCGTATGTATATTTCGTGTGTGAGTATTCCGACTGTGTGTTTCGTTTGTGTATATTTGGTGTGCGTGTTTCTTTCGTATGCGCTCCGTGTGTGTATGTTTCGTGTGTTTTGTGTGTGACTATCTGTCTGTGTGTTCCGTGTGTGTGTATGTTTCGTGTGTTTCGATGTGTGTGCTTCCTTTGGGTGTATTTTGTGTGCGTATATTCCGTGTGTGTGTATCTTTCGTATGTGTTTCGTGTGTGACTATCTGTCTGTGTGTTCCGTGTGTGTGTGTTCCGTGTGTGTATGTTCCGTGTGTGTGTGTTCCGTGTGTGTATGTTTCGTGTGTGTGTGTTCCGTGTGTGTGTGTTCTGTGTGTGTTCCGTGTGTGTGTGTTCCGTGTGTGTGTGTTCCGTGTTTTTCGATGTGTGTGTTTCGTATGTGACTATCTGTGTGTATGTTCCGTGTGTGTGTGTGTGTTCCGTGTGTGTGTGTTCCGTGTGTGTTCCGTGTGTGTGTGTTCCGTGTGTGTGTGTTCCGTGTTTTTCGATGTGTGTGTTTCGTATGTGACTATCTGTGTGTATGTTCCGTGTGTGTGTGTGTGTTCCGTGTGTGTGTGTTCCGTGTGTGTGTGTTCCGTGTGTTTCGATGTGTGTGTTTCGTGTGTGACTATATGTGTGTGTGTTCCGTGTGTGACTATATGTGTGTGTGTTCCGTGTGTATGTGTGTTCCGTGTGTGTGTGTGTTCCGTGTGTGTTCCGTGTGTGTATGTTTCGACACTGCCATAGGAGCTGCACGAGTATAATTTAAGTTACCCACGATTTACCCCACCCACGAGAAATCCGTCGAATCCTGTATTCAATTAATTTAAAGTTTTTTTTTTAACCCATCACATTTGCGTCATTACGTTTTGGCTAATTAACTATAGCTCACATATATATATTTATTCTGTATATACTGTATATACTGTAGTCACCATGGTAGCACGCTTAAAGTTGCCAATAATTACCCTAGTCCATATATATGTCGGCCAGGGGAAAATGATTGCTAATAAATAAAATAACAACCCCTCGTAGTTTAACGTTCACTGTGACTTGTAGTATAACTGTACGCAAACAACATATTTTATATATAATAAATAAATATTCACAACAACCACAATCATTATCCCAACTTTGCACACAAATTACCGTTCATGCGCGAATCTTCATGGGCTTCTACCGTTGATGCACCGCTGTTCATGCGCATGTGTTGAACGGGGCCCCCAGAACCCGCGAGACACGACACGGGGTTTGCCCCCCCCCACAAAAGCATTATTTTCCTTTTTTGTGCTCTGATATTTTCCGAGCTAATAATTTTATTTAATTTCGAGAGAACGCAAGCGTAACATTTAAAACAGGTGTGTTAAAACTTACTGCCCTTCTTCGACCGTTAAGCTCCTTTAGAAATCTGTGTAGTCACATAAAATGGCTATAAAATTTTACTGTCGATCGTTAGCCGAGCGCAAACCTACATAATTCTGTCACTGATACAAGGCTACGCCAAGAAGCTTGTACGCTTGTCGAGAGGAGAAATACGAACACACACACACAAAATATAACGCCCGTGATATTACGAACGAAAAATAACAACACGCGAGACGGGACTAATATTGTTTGTCGCTATTTCATCAGGCACACAGACGACAGATACAGAGGGATGCAACGATAGAGAGACACGCACACGGAGAGACGGAGACACAAAGAGTCGCGTGTTTTCGGTTGTAGTGAACGCAACGTGGCTCAACGTATGAGCCCTCACCGCTCGATACTACCGTTCACATTTGAATATTAACACCGTCTAAAAGTGCTAAGCTATATATGGGCGATGCAATTCATTTCTGAATAAACAGGTACATACATTTATACGTTTTAGATACGTACGTAAATAGTTTGATATAATAGCTACTACTGTACAGTAGAATTATATTAAAACGATACTTATTTATATAGCATAATCGATGGATGGGTCTTTCTTTATAAAGTCTGGTTTCCAAACGCGTCCAGGAAGTGGAATAGTCCGTTCATAAATTGTCCAAGCATTTAAAGCACCAACCTTTCTGAAAATGAGGTCTTAAGACTCAGTTAATACTTTCCCTATGTATTACTACAACGCTCAAACATACTTTTCGCTTTTTCCATTTTGCCTAGAATGTAAATATTTGACTCGATGTGTGTACAACGTGAATGGTTCTGTATGTGTAACATGAACGTTTCTCAATGTATAACGTCAACGCCTCTCGATGTGTGTAGAATATGAACGGTTCTCAATATATAACGTGATCGGTTCTCCGTGTACAATGTGAACGGTTCTAAATTAATGTACAATGTGAATGGTTCGTAATGCCTTGGGTTGTTGTTATTACATTACAAGAAAAAAGTATCATATATATAGCATCGTTCATATAACTCAGACACGGGGCATTGTATAGGTTTGATCTCGGTTGTAATGAATATGCAGTTCAGACTCAGCGAGACAACTCTCCCCATCCTATGTATGACTCTGTACACGCGTATCCGTCCCGTCATTATCATTCGTAACACATAGGCATACAGTGACATTCATTTCTGTTCATATTATACTTAACTTACAACCACGAACATACAGCAGAGCCAGGTTGTTGCTATTCCAATTATATATATTTAAAAAAAAACAATTTGATCTGAATTGTCTTCATCAGTATCGTCCTCGAATATCGAGGCGTGAGAAATGTCAATTGCGTAACACTGGGCGCGCTCGGCTCTTGAGACAATAGATGAATAGGGCGAGTAACGACATGTAATGACTCTGGTCGTCGTATCGGCCAGACGTAGGCTATAGATTGGTGGCCATAGACTCGTGCTGACTCTAGAGTGGAATTCACGTCGGTCTCTACGTTTCTGTAATTCGTGCTCGAGCGTGCATGTATCTTCGTCTTTGCATGAATGTGTATAGTGGGGAGCGGTGGCGCAGTGGTTAGCGCGAGTTCGATTTCTGCTCACGGCTAACACCATTGACGAGCTATTATCTGAACCAGGCCTGGGCCTACCCTGGGTCGACTCAGCCTCAAATGAGTGGTGCTGGCTACCAACTCCCTTGTGTGTTTTACTGGCCACTGGAGAGACAAAGGCGGTCGGGCGTTGTGTTGGCCACCCACCTCCTCATGCGCCGTTCCGACCTTCATAGGTGCTCGCTAACAGCACTTGTCCCCAACAGTCTCTTAAGGCTACACGGGGGATCTTTGTCATATTGTGTGCTGTGTCAAAGTATGTGAGCGCATTTGGGAGTAAATATGGTGGACTTTTTTACGTAAGTATACATGCAGGCCAATGCAAACCTCCATAGAGCACTTACTCCAAGTCTGTTAAGACAATACGGGGGATCTGTGTTTGTGTATGTATGTGTATACTATGTGTATACTATGTGAGCACATATGCAGGCCAACACGTGCGTGTGTGTGTGTACGTGTGCCGCACCGGCCTTTATATGATCTCGCTTACAGCACTTACCGATAAGAATCTGTTAAGGCTATACGGGGGATCCATAATACAGTTTTTTTGGGTTAGATCACGTAAATGTGTCGTTAACCCTGCCAGCACCGGACACAGTCAATTAGTAAGGGTTATCACGTGAACAGAACATGTAAACAGAACATGCCAACCCTTACAAATTGGCTGTGTCGGGTGGTGGCGGCGTTAACGACACATTTATATATTTACGCGATCTAAGCCCAGAAATAACTGTATTATGGATATTGGTCGCGATAGCCTTCGTGTGATACGGGGGATCTTTGTCTGTGAATGTATGTATCGTGATTGGCGGTGCTAAATGTGGATCAGTCGCTGCTTTTGAAAAACCAAGATTACAAATTTCCGGTAACCATAGCGACTTGAAGAACAAAGCACATTTACATATATATGTAAATGTGTATATATATAACGTCTCGAACCTGACATCCGCTTCTCCTACGTCGACTCAGCATAACAAGGGGGTTCGACGGCTGTGGCGTTGTTCAAAATCACCATTGGACTCAACAAAGGCGACCGGGCGCGCGTGCCTCTGCCGACACTGCCCCCTTGTGTTCGGTTTAGGTTTTTAATAGGTGCTCGCTAACACTGCCTACCCATTTCCGCCGACAATCTGAGGTCGCGTTCAACTCGATATTATTTCGCATCGGTCGTGTCACGCCAACGAGCGTCGGTTTAAAAACGAAAAAAAAACACACACAAAGTTTTGATGACACCAAAAAAAGTTGCTCACACAGAGCTAGTGTTCGAATGCAACGACGCTCGGGCCCACCTTAACCGATGCCATGGGCCGCGCGCGTTGCGGGATTAATTAAATATTTGATCAATTACGCGATTGAGAGCGAGTCAGATTTGAACGTTAAATTCTATATTAATTCGTCATTAACACTGTGGCATTACAAGTAAAAAAAAACATAACATATATTATAGGCGACGGTTTTGGCAATGGGCCTTCTTTATCCAGAACAAGGTGCCCAAATTATTGAGGAGCGGCAGTGCAGTGGTTAGGGCATTGCGCCGTGTACCCCCAGCGAGCCCGAGTGCCATGTCCCATCACGATGAGCATCGGTGAACGAAATAAAATAAAACAATATCGGATTGGGCGCTGGAAGCCCCTTCACCTGCGGGGTTGAAGTATGCTCGAACAATTACCACAACCCCCACGGCATATCGAGGAATACCTTCATGCAGCAGTGGATTGGCCCGAGGGCTGTAACTTACTCGAATCGTTGTCGTTAACGTTATTGCCGCGCGCGGGTCGTATCACGCGCAATTATATACGCAACGCGGAGTTTCTATCTTACGGGAAATGCATGCATAATGTGAATTTTAATATTGCGTGTTGTGAACAGTAATAACGCAAGTAAAACAAACTGTGAGAAAATATTATATTATGTTACGTGAAATACATTATATATGTTCATTTATTATAACGCGGCGAAATATAACTTAGTAGGTGCACGCATACGGGACACACGTAGACAGAGAGCCCGAGCAAAAAAATATATACAATTATATTAGTACACAATGCCTCTCAAACATAGCGCAATATTACATCTAAATATCGCGTTATATTCAGGAAATATCGGGTTATATTCAACCAAATAGCCCGCTATATTCCACAAGAATATTGAACTATATTTCACGAAACATCACAATATTTCACCAATTATCGCACTATATTCCACCGAAGCATCGCACATTCCATTCACAAATCGCCCTATATTCAACCCATATATCGCACTATGTATATATTTCCACCCATATATCACGCTACTGTATATTCCACCGATATATCGCACTATTTTCCACTCATATCGCACTATATTCCACCATATCGCACTATATATATTCCACCATATCGCACTACAATATATATATATATCCTACCCATATATCGTCATTGCTCACGCGCACTACAAACGCGCGGTGGGAAATGCGCGATAATCTGTTTCCAAATTAAAACTCCACTCGTCTCGACCCCAGACACAACCCCCCCCACCACCACCACCACCCCCACACATGCACAGCGACCCCTTAAACCCGCGAATACTGCGCCTCCGCGACCGTTCGCGGCTTTTATTTTACGGTCCGAGCGGCGGTTTTGGAAACGCGACAAAATTTACGCTCGCACAGAGGGACGGAGAGAGAGAGAGAGAAGAGAGAGTAGGGGGGGGGGGGAGAGATAACAGGAGAAGAGTTGACACCGGCTCGTGGTCCTGGACACCGCCAATGTTTTATTTTGTGGTCGTCTTTTGGCCCCTCGCTTGCCAACAGCTCTCGTTCTCTACCGACCACCTCGCCATGTGGACCCTACACGGCCCGAGACAGATATTGTTGTATTCGTAGCGCTCGTTATATTTAGTTTTATTATTTATTGGGATTATTTTATTGTTTGTTTTATAAGTCATTTTTGCTCCACCGCGTACGCTCGGTGCGTGAGTTCTGAAATTGCTTCGCCTGTGTGGGTGTCCGATGTGTAAACATCGCCACTAGGGAGACAAAGGCGGCTGGGCGTGGTGTTGGCCACCCATCCCCTCGTGTGCCGCGCCGGCCTTTATAGGTGCTCGCTAACAGCACTTGCCCCTACAGTCTGTTAAGGCTATACGGGGAATCTTTGTGTGTGCGTGTGTGTGTCCGTGTGTGTGCGTGTGTGTCCGTGTGCGGCCGCGCGTGATGCTGGCCACCCACCCCTCGTGTATCGTGCAGGCCTTTATAGGAGCTCGCTAACAGCCCTTGCCCATATACAATCTGTTGAGGCTATCCGGGGGGGGGGGGAGGTTTGATTTTGTTGTGTGCGCGCGCGTGTGCGTGTTCGCTTGCCTTCGATACATATATACATATTTTAAGGATGAACTTTGGATCGCCATTGAAATGTTGACGTCTGCTGTTTATCTCTGCGCGTGCAATTGAGCGTTCGTTTGACGTCTGTTCGAGTGAAAGTGAAAGCGGACACAGGCAGTGGTCGGCTAACATCGCGCAGAAATCAAAACTTCGTCTGAACAAAGGGGGGGGGGGTCCAGGCTGTGACATTATTGGCCTAATCACCGCGTGTACATGCGGTGCGCTGTCCGCGAATGAAATTCCCGACACTGTTACAATTAGAAGGACTCCCCGCCACCCCCCCCCCCCCCCCCCATATATCCATCTTGAGATATATGTATAAGTTAGTTTTTTTATTATTATCTGTACTGTATGTCTCCGGTCACGACCCGCCTATATATTAAACAAATTTCATAGCGGTGTTGACTGCCAATTGTAAAGGGGGGGGGGGGGGGGGGTTATAGCAGGTTGTGTGTGGGGGGGGGAGGGGCAGGGGGAGGGGTATATGTGTGTGTGCGGGGGGGGGGGTCCAATATAAAATAACGTATCGCTTTGTTAATGAGCCGCTCGCAACGCTGTATATATATAAATGATGTAATGGCGTTTGATAACTTACGCGTCTTCCTCGGATCATAAAGAGCTGGGACGCCAGCGCTCCCTACGCCTTGTTATGTGAGACACTTGCAAAGCGGTCGTTTATAAAGCAGAGAGAGAGAGAGGGGGGTGGGGGGCTCTAAAGCTATAAAACAGAGAAAAGGCCTTTCCTGCATGCCGGAGCAACGGGAAGTGAAGAAGAGACAGGTACCCAAAAAAGGGGGGGGGGGGGGTGGGTGGGTGGTGAGGGGGGGTAACGGCACCCCCACGAATAGCGCTCTTGACAGTCCGTGCGGGCACGGGGAAGATGTCTCTTTAGGAACCCCCCCCCCCCCCCCAAATTAAAGGGAGACGCGCGGGAACTTTCAACACTGAGGCCAGAGTTGTCAGTAGCCGTGGAAGAAAAAAAAAACCCGTCAAAAATATATACGGGTTTTTTTTTTTAGGTGCGTATAAATAATTCACATCGCGGGTTAATAGGCTTTTCCTGGCGGGATTTTATTTTATCGCGCATGTACATCCATTTCCACGCTGCGTGTTATTCTATCATTTGCTTCAACATATTAATCCGCCCAATATTCCGCCCCACCGTGTGGCAGGAGCAGGCAGTGGAAGCGGAACATATATAGTGAGTGGGGAGGGCTAGGAAGCAATAAATTCCACATGTTCGCGCAAGACTTTGAGCGAAAATACATTTGATCGCCGCGGTTCTCGAGGTGAGCAGCCCAAATTTTGCGGGGCTCGGCAGCCTTTAATTTTTCTTATTTATTATATTCTTATTATAAATAAAAACTCAACAAACCCCAACCAACCCCCGCCGCTTCGCTGAATGGCCGCGTTTACCTAACAACCACGACGGAGCTCCGAGCCGCTTCGTCTCCCCCCCCCCCCCCTCTGGCTTGCTCTCAACATGTGCGTCGGCGGCAGGGGTGTCACTCTCCCCGCTCGCCCCTCTTAATTGGCATGCAGCGGTAACATCCCCGCTCGCCCGCTCGTGTGCAACGCGGGCGCAACCTGCTACCACCCCGCGCGAGTCGACGCAGAGCGCGCGTCCTCCTGCCAGTCGCATCTCCGTCACGACCCTCTCGCCGCCCCGCCGACTCCCGATGAATTCGTACTTCGCGAACCCTCTCTTCGCGAAGTACAAGGCCGGCGACGCGCTGCGCCCCAGCTACTATGACTGCCGCCTCGCAACGGACGCCATGAGTGGCCGGCAGGCCGTCTTCTACGGTGCCGGCGCCGGAGCCGGAGGAGCCGGAGGAGGAGGAGGAGGAGGCCCCCCGGCATTCGAGCACCCGGCCGGCACCGGCGCGGGCACGGGCGGAGCCGCGGGAGTTCACCACCAGGAGTTCTACCACAACGGAAGTTCGGCGGCGGCGGCGGCGGCTGCCGCGTACCAAGCGGCCGGTTCGTGCGCACTGGACGCAGCGGGTAACTTCTACGGCTACCCGGCCTTCCCGAGGCAGCCCGTGTTCGCCCTGCAGCAGGAGTGCGGTGGCGTGGTGCAGTACCCGGGACCCGACTTCAAGTCGTTCGGGCCCGGCGCCGAGGAGGAGGCCGAGTACCCGGGTCAGGGATCCTCGTCGGCGCAGCTCTTCCCCTGGATGAGGTCTCAAGGTGCGTGGGGGGAGTCTGGGTGGTTGTGGTGGTGGGGAGGGGGGGGGGGCACGGGTCGCCTCTGTCCCCTCGATAGCCCTGTCGTCTCTCTACACGCGTGCCTCTGTCTCTCTTTGTGTGCGCCCACAATCGTGCGTCTGGCATCCCCTTGTGTTGTCCTGTCGATGATCTGTGTATGGATGGCAATTGCGCTATACCTTCCTCATTGATAATGTCTTACGGAGCAGAACGATTGTCGAGCAAGATGACGTTTCGGGCAACGTTCCCCGTTCATCGTTGCTTGCTGCGTTGTTGCTATGCAATGTGTATTATTCATATTGTTATAATCCCAATTATTGTGGTCTCTGATTACTGTCTCATTCGTCATTCCGTACCTTGCCTAACAGCTGCTGTTGCTTTCATTATTTGTTTTTGTGTCCGCTGCTCCTGCCGTCGCTTGTTGTTGTTGTTTGCTTATTTATGGACGCGTCCATTGTGTCGTGCGCACACAAAAGGCAGACGGACGCGTCTGGCGTAACGGGCGGGAACAACAATAGCGCAACCGTCATACGATCATCGCAGCCGTAGTCTGCGGGCTACTTAGCGGCCAGGGCCCGTTGATAACAAACGCCGCAGTGTAGGAAGCGAGCGGTCACGGCGTGCAATCAACTCGGAGATGAGAAGCCGATAGCCGACCTCTGTGGGGGGAGGGGGGGGGGTCCTTGTCGCCGGATTGTTGTTGTTGTTGTTGTCGATTGTTCTCGTTTTCACGTCACCTATTTAGGCGCGCGCGTAATTGTGTTCAACTGTACGCTGGTTAGATTTCATGGGCGCGTGTCGGAGGGATAGTCGTGACGTAACCGGTGAGCACGCGTCAATATATATGCAGTATATAGGCTGTGCCATCTCTTAAAACGGTCGCAAAGTGCATATTTTATATGGGTTGATATGGATGACATGAAAGTTGTGTGTTTTGTAATGCGCACGAAGTTACGCGCTTAAATAATAGACAACGTTTTGCGCAAGCTCATTATTACGGTAGTGCTATCGCGGGAATGGGTAACAATACAAGCAGCTGCCTCTCTTGGATATCGTGTTGAAATTCACCAGTTTGTTGGATAATTTCTTGAACAGTCTCTGTGTGTATATATTAATAGTGTCCATTGGACCGCTTGATAAGACTTTGGTTGTTATTTTTTTAAAACCAATGCGACCAAATATCGCGTCAGTCGTGTTATTGTGTTGAGCCAATTTACTCGTCCATTTGTTAAACACCCTACTTGAAGCGCACTTTAACATTTTGTTGTTACTTTTACGGAATTTTACACCCACCACCACCACCACACTTTTGGAAATTATGTGAGCATGTATACCTATATCTAGAGATGCTGTCACTACTCTGTGTGTGTGTGTATTCTATACGAATTGCGTGGGTAAACGTTCAAGATAAACAATCTTTATAGGCGCAATAAGTTCAAGTGGCACGTTACCACCACTCCAGAACAACATATGCGATGTCACGAGCTCCTACAAAACGCCGTCTGCAACAAATAACAAGACAACACGTGTGTGTATATATTTGGCGTCACATACGTTGCGCTATTTGGACGGAACATTATCTCGGGGGCAAATGTGTATCTGTGTGTGTGTGTGTGGCGATTGCCATTGCTCGTGGTCGCATTGTGCAATGTTTAAATTATTACAATTATTATTATTACTTTCGCAAATCATTGACGCGTTGACTCCTTTTATTTCCCCCCGTGCGTGGCCCCTGTGCTGCACTCTCGCTTGTTTGCATCTAACCGCGTGGGGTCGCTGGGCCGAACCGGGGCGGTTTCTTCTAAATGCCGAGGCGAAAGAAAAAAAAGGGGGGGGGGTGGTGGTTGGGGCTTTATTACAAAAATCTCGAGCAGAGCAGAACGCGGCCACGGTTCATTAAGTAAGGACAATCGTGGTGGCTCAAACGCTCGCAGGGTCTGCCCTGAACCTCGCCTACCCCCCCACCACCACCCCACCCCTCCGTGTTTACAGTCACGGCCAAATAAAAAAAAATATTCCACGTAGTCAAGTCACTCAATGCTCCATTAACCCCACGAAGTGTTTCCAAACGTTAAAATGTTAATAGCGCGCTATACGTACCGTATAAAGAGAAAGACACGTACGGCGAACGTTGCGAAAGTACTTTTTTTCGGGGGGGGGGGGGGGTGGGGAGGGCATGTTTGTATCAGATACGTTTCCCGTCGACGTTGTTCCACGGTAGCTCACGGATTCGTTTACAAGAAAGCGTTTAAGGGACCGCGTTAGCTAAAACGTGCGTGCGAGCAACGATGCCATCCGAGGCCAATCAATGTGCTGCCGATAAACTGGAAAAGTCCCGGTTTAAACAAAAAAAAACCCCCACCCCCGCTGTAATTGCTTATTGCGCGTGTGTAAATATTCTCCGCACCATGTGTACACAACAGCTCCGGAGTGAACGGGCCTCTGCTAGCAGGCCGGCGGTGACCCCTGTGTAATAATGATGGTGGCCATAATAATCATCATCATTATTATTTTATTATAATACTGCCAATAGAAATGTAGCGGCCTCTGTCAATGCACTGCTGAATTCATAACATCGCAACACTGTTCGGTGCGGGTCGGTCAAGAGGTGGGGGCGGGGGGGGGGCGCGGGGGATCCGTTCAGATTTCACTCGCCACTGATGTTAGCCGTAGCAGGAAATCTAACTCAGGGAGAAAAAAAACCCAGGTTCATAGAGCAAATCCCACCGAAAATTCACTTTGTTTAATACGTGTGAGGAATGAGTGTGTGTGTGTGTCTGGTGCAGGGGGAGCGGTAGTGTAGCGATCAGCGCGCTGCGCTACGAACCCGGTGACCCGAGTTGGATTCCCGCTCACGGCCAACACCGGTGACGATAACCTGAACCGGTCCCGAGCCTCGTTCCATAGGTCGACTCAGCCTCAGACGAGTACCTGGTGCGATGTGTGAAAAAACATCGCCACTGAGGAGACAAAGGCGGCCGGGCGTGGTGCTGCCCACCAACTCCCCTCGTGTGCCGTGCCGGCGTTCACTAGGTGCTCGCTAACAGCACTTGCCCCAACAGTTGAAGGGTCTACGGCGGGGGTGGGGGGGGTCTTTGTCTTGTCTGGTGCAGCGTTAACTTTAAGATGGCACGCACGACACGGAACTGAACTAAAACCATCACGGTCTCACGAACCCCCGTGGGCCAAACTGCCGCAGGGAAACACGTAGCAAAGTCAGTCCGGGCAAACTCAGTCACCCACAGTGCAGTGCGCTCGTACGCACGTAGGTACTCGCGTGCACGCGTACAAAGGTAGAGCTCCCCCGTATAGCCCTGACAGACTGTTGGGGGCAAGTTCTGTTAGCGAGCAACTATGAAGGCCCGTAAAGGCTGGGGGGAGGGGTGTGGACAACATCGCTCCCGGCCACCTTTGTCTCCCCAGTGATGATGTTTATACACCGCACCAGGTAACTTATTTACGGCTGATTCTACCTAAGGGAGGCCCAGAACCGGTTCAGGTATTCGCCACTGTTATTATTGGTAGTGGGTGGAAATCGAACTCGGGTCGCTGTGGTTCGTAACGCAGCGCGCTAACCTAACCACACTGCACTACCGCTCGCCACACGCTCACAAAGGACAAAGACCCCCGTGTAGCCTTAACAGACTATTGGGGAAAGTGCTGTTAACGAATACCTGTGAAGGCCGGAACGGCACACGAGGGGGTCGGTGGCGACCACCACGCCCGACCGCCTTTGTTTCCCCAGTGACGATGTTTACGCACAGCACCAGGTACTAATTTAAGGCTGAGTCGACCTACGGGAGGCCCAGGACCGGTTCAGATAATCGTCATTGGTGTTGTTGGCCTTGAGCGGGAATCGAACTCGGGTCGCAGGGTTCGTCGCGCAACGCGCTAACCGCTACACTACCGCTCCCCAGACACACACACACACACCTACATACGCGCGCGCACACACGGAGAGAGCCCCCGTGATTCATGGGCGAGTTGTACATCCGTTAGACGGCGTGCGTGCGTGCGCGCGCGCGCTCGACGATTTGGCAGCAGAATTTGGAGGCGAGAGGAGTTACCCGGACGAGAATAGAGAGCGGAGATCTGTCGCCAGCACTTTTAAGCGCAGTCTTGTTTGCAGTGAATGAAGAGAGTGAGAGACGGGGGGGGGGGGGGGGGGCTTTTCTAATGATTTATATTTTTTGCATTTAATGGCGTAGTTGTCAGCACACGCCGAGATTAACAGCACGTGGCGTGCACGCGTTATTCGAGAGTAGCGCCCCGCACGCGCTGACTTATGATGGAGATTGCTCAGCAATTGACACTGTCTTCTGTCTACGTGTCCGAGCATTGCAAACTTATAAGGTGTATACGTGTTATATAATACATATACAGCTGTGTGTATACATATACTGTGCAGATAGGTGAAATTGTGTCTATATGTGTGTGTTAACGATGTGTATTACCCACATTTAGTAGAGCATACCAATCAATACACTCACGGATGTATTCGAGTGTGTGTTTGTATGTATGCAATTGTGTATAATATTAGACAGTAATTCAATCGCTAACAAGTAAGCTTGTCCAGAGTAAAAAAAGGGCGAGAGTGGGGGGGGCGTCTGGTTTTGTAGCAGATCTTGTGTGGACATCTGTGAAAAAGAGCTCATTAGCTCATCGGATTACTCCAGCATAAATAAAGATTCTGATTCTCCGTGTATCGTGTATGTTGCGTGTATGTTTGTAAGATTCAATGTATGTGCGCGTGTATGTGTGTATGTATGTATTGTGTACGTTGTGTGTATGTTTGTAAGTCATTGTGCGCGTGTGTGTGTATGTATTGTGTACGTTGTGTATGTTTGTAAGAGTCATTGTGCGCGTGTGTGTGTATGTATTGTGTACGTTGTGTGTATGCTTGCACGAGTCATTGTGTGTACGTGCGCTTGCGAATGCTCATTGCACGTGTTCATATGTCGTGTGATGTGTGTCGCCTCGAGTAGGTACCTGGTGCGGTGCGTAAACATCGCCACTGGGGAGACAAAGGCGGTCGGGCGTTGTGTTGGCTATCCACCCCCTCATGCGTCGTTCCGACCTTCATAGGTGCTCGCTAACAGCACGTGCCCCAACAGTCTGTTAAGGCTATGCGGGGGATCATTGTCTTTTATTGCATGTGCGCATATGTGTTCGTCACCATATTACTCAAGATTCCCCTTTATTTACCCAGTAACGTCTAATAGAGTCTCAAGACTAGTTCTCAGGAGGGCCCTGCATTATATATTTTTTGCGGGATGTTTGGATAATTCCATGAATGAGTCTTTTACACCGAAGTATCCGGATGGGATTTCATCCACCCAATACAACGAAACTCCGCCGCACAGATGGATTCAAGTGCACGCGTGATTGTTTGTGTGTCATGTCTTTGTATCTTTGTCATACAAATACTCGCGTTTGTGCGTAGCGAATATCATTGGGAGACGGAAGAATCATTACTAGTCCAGGCCTTCCGTACGTCGACTCAATATTTAATTAGTACCTGGCGCACGGCTTTTAAAGATCTCCAGCGGGGAGACAAAGGCGTCCGGGAGAGATGCCGTCCAGACCCGACTCCTACACGCGCCAGGCCGGCTTTAATAGGTGCTCGCTGACAACACTTGCCCCCACCAGTCTGTTAAAGGGTTCACAAGGGGGTGACGTCTCCTTTGTCTTCCATATGTGTGCCTCTGTGCGTGTACAGCGTTTCTAGATGGGGTCGCATCCAGACGATGACATGTACAAATTGCATTGTGACGTGTACACATTGTAGGTATGGGTTGTCATAGCAAATACCTGTACTACGATCCATGTTTCTTCTTTGGTAAGGTCAGGGTATTGTCTTTTGGACACGTGTGTGTATGTGTGTGTCTGTGCACGTGCTCGTGTCGCGCTAGCCACTCGCCCACACGCTATGATGTAACCCACATGCTATGATGTCACCCACACGCTACGCTGTAAGCTCACACGCTACGATGATGACCTCATGTTGCTTTCTTTTGTTCATTGCTGTTGTCTTTTCGCTGTTGTCGTGACGTATTCTTTGTTGTTGCTTTGCTGCTCACAGTGGGGCCGGGCAGGCGACGGGGCCGCCAGACCTACTCGCGCTTCCAGACGCTGGAGCTGGAGAAGGAGTTCCTCTTCAACCCGTACCTGACGCGCAAGCGGCGCATCGAGGTGTCGCACGCGCTGGGCCTCACCGAGCGCCAGGTCAAGATCTGGTTCCAGAACCGGCGCATGAAGTGGAAGAAGGAGAACAACAAAGACAAATTCCCGGCCAGGAAGGAGGACATTGAAGAGCCCGCGAAGAAGGCGGAGGAAAACTCGGGCGACGAGGAGTCGCAAGGCACCTCCAAGGAGTGAAGGGGGCGCCGGGTGGTGGGGCAGGGGGGAGGACACCGCAAGGGACACGGAAAAGAGATCAGGAGCGAGAGGAGGAGGAGGGGGGTGGTGGCCGATGGTGCCAAGTGGTGCCGGAGAGGATTTAAGAGGAGGAGGCGGTGGTAGCCGCGTCCTATTTAAATGTCAAAACTTGTACCCGTGCACTAATAGAACAAGGCGACGTTTTGTTGTTGTTGTTGTTGATCTGAGTAAACGTGAACAACGCGCGCACACAGACGCACGCGCGTACGCGTTTAAAGCCCAAAAACAAGGCACGGGGGAGTTTTCGAACGCCTAAACGCTAAGATGGTGTGTGTGTCGGGATAAATTTCAACAAAAAACAAAACATGGTTCCAGTAATATTCCGTGAGAGAGACTATCTGATGTGTCAGAATAACTTCTCTCCGGATGGAAATGTTTGAGCAAGGTTCGGGTCAACCTTGCTCTTCTCTCCCGCTCCGAGCGCCGCCCGCCAGAAAGGGGAAGCGGAGTTGGGGGGGGGGGGGAGGTCTCTGCGATGAGCGGATGGATTTGTTTACGAGGGCGCGAGGTGCTCTCTGTGGCTTGTGAAGGACCCACAGAGGGTCGCCCCTTCCGCTCATCCCTCCAGTTACGAATTCCGCCACCTCCGCACTCCCCCTCCATCCCCGAAAACGTCCACGTTTTGTTCTGTTCACCATCTTGTTCACCATCTTGTTCACCATCTTGTTCACTATCTTGGTCACTATCTTGGTCACTATCTTGCAATGCGGGCGAGGAGCCAGGCGGAGGCGAGAGTGGATAAATGATTTTGGGAGGCAGAGGGAAGAATGGAGGCAGTGGGATGATGATGGTGGTGGTGGTGGTGATGATGGTAATGATGGTGATGATTATATGAACGAGAGGGAGGGGGGGGGTGGCTAGTGGTACTGGTGGTGCTGCTGCGGTGAGCCCCCCCCCCCCTCAACCACCCCGCCCGCCCCCACCTCAAGTAAGTGTCGCATTCGATTAACAAGTCGGTCAGTAGACAGAGTTTTGGGGTGTGAGGGCCATTCAGAGGATCAGGAGTCGACCAGTAGATAGCAGGGGTAGAGGGGGTGAGGTTAACAAGTCGACCAGTAGGCAGTAGAGCTAGAGGGGGTGAGGTTAACAAGTCGACCAGTAGATAGCAGGGCTATAGGGGGTGAGGTTAACAAGTAGACCAGCAGATAGCAGGGCTATACGGGGTGAGGTTAACAAGTCGACCAGTAGATAGCAGGGCTATAGGGGGTGAGGTTAACAAGTCGACCAGTAGATAGCAGGGCTAGAGGGGGTGAGGTTAACAAGTCGACCAGTAGGCAGTAGAGCTATAAGGGGTGAGGTTAACAAGTCGACCAGTAGGCAGCAGGGCTATAGGGGGTGAGGTTAACAAGTCGACCAGTAGATAGCAGGGCTATAGGGGGTGAGGTTAACAAGTCGACCAGTAGATAGCAGGGCCAGAGGGGGTGAGGTTAACAAGTCGACCAGTAGATAGCAGGGCCAGAGGGGGTGAGGTTAACAAATCGACCAGTAGGCAGCAGGGCTATAGGGGGTGAGGTTAACAAGTCGACCAGTAGATAGCAGGGCTATAGGGGATGAGGTTAACAAGTCGACCAGTAGATAGCAGGGCTATAGGGGGTGAGGTTAACAAGTAGACCAGCAGATAGCAGGGCTATACGGGGTGAGGTTAACAAGTCGACCAGTAGATAGCAGGGCTATACGGGTGAGGTTAACAAGTCGACCAGTAGATAGCAGGGCTAGAGGGGGTGAGGTTAACAAGTCGACCAGTAGATAGCAGGGCTAGAGGGGGTGAGGTTAACAAGTCGACTAGTAGGCGGTAGGGCTATAGGGGGTGAGGTTAACAAGTCGACCAGTAGATAGCAGGGCTATAGGGGATGAGGTTAACAAGTCGACCAGTAGATAGCAGGGCTATACGGGGTGAGGTTAACAAGTCGACTAGTAGGCGGCAGGGCTATAGGGGGTGAGGTTAACAAGTCGACCAGTAGATAGCAGGGGTATAGGGGGTGAGGTTAACAAGTCGACCAGTAGATAGCAGGGCTATAAGGGGTGAGGTTAACAAGTCGACTAGTAGGCGGTAGGGCTATAGGGGGTGAGGTTAACAAGTCGACCAGTAGATAGCAGGGCTAGAGGGGGTGAGGTTAACAAGTCGACCAGTAGATAGCAGGGCTATACGGGGTGAGGTTAACAAGTCGACCAGTAGATAGCAGGGCTAGAGGGGGTGAGGTTAACAAGTCGACCAGTAGATAGCAGGGCTATAGGGGGTGAGGTTAACAAGTCGACTAGTAGGCGGTAGGGCTATAGGGGGTGAGGTTAACAAGTCGACCAGTAGATAGCAGGGCTATAGGGGGTGAGGTTAACAAGTCGACCAGTAGATAGCAGGGCTAGAGGGGTGAGGTTAACAAGTCGACCAGTAGGCGGCAGGGCTATAGGGGGTGAGGTTAACAAGTCGACCAGTAGATAGCAGGGCTATAGGGGGTGAGGTTAACAAGTCGACCAGTAGATAGCAGGGCTAGAGGGGGTGAGGTTAACAAGTCGACCAGTAGATAGCAGAGCTATACAGGGAGAGGTTAACAAGTCGACCAGTAGATAGCAGGGCTATAAGGGGTGAGGTTAACAAGTCGACTAGTAGGCGGTAGGGCTATAGGGGGTGAGGTTAACAAGTCGACCAGTAGATAGCAGGGCTAGAGGGGGTGAGGTTAAGAAGTCGACCAGTAGATAGCAGGGCTATACGGGGTGAGGTTAACAAGTCGACCAGTAGATAGTAGGGCTAGAGGGGGTGAGGTTAACAAGTCGACCAGTAGATAGCAGGGCTATAGGGGGTGAGGTTAACAAGTCGACTAGTAGGCGGTAGGGCTATAGGGGGTGAGGTTAACAAGTCGACCAGTAGATAGCAGGGCTATAGGGGGTGAGGTTAACAAGTCGACCAGTAGATAGCAGGGCTAGAGGGGTGAGGTTAACAAGTCGACCAGTAGGCGGCAGGGCTATAGGGGGTGAGGTTAACAAGTCGACCAGTAGATAGCAGGGCTATAGGGGGTGAGGTTAACAAGTCGACCAGTAGATAGCAGGGCTAGAGGGGGTGAGGTTAACAAGTCGACCAGTAGATAGCAGAGCTATACAGGGAGAGGTTAACAAGTCGACCAGTAGATAGCAGGGCTATAAGGGGTGAGGTTAACAAGTCGACTAGTAGGCGGTAGGGCTATAGGGGGTGAGGTTAACAAGTCGACCAGTAGATAGCAGGGCTAGAGGGGGTGAGGTTAAGAAGTCGACCAGTAGATAGCAGGGCTATACGGGGTGAGGTTAACAAGTCGACCAGTAGATAGTAGGGCTAGAGGGGGTGAGGTTAACAAGTCGACCAGTAGATAGCAGGGCTATAGGGGGTGAGGTTAACAAGTCGACTAGTAGGCGGTAGGGCTATAGGGGGTGAGGTTAACAAGTCGACCAGTAGATAGCAGGGCTATAGGGGGTGAGGTTAACAAGTCGACCAGTAGATAGCAGGGCTAGAGGGGGTGAGGTTAACAAGTCGACCAGTAGGCGGCAGGGCTATAGGGGGTGAGGTTAACAAGTCGACCAGTAGATAGCAGGGCTATAGGGGGTGAGGTTAACAAGTCGACCAGTAGATAGCAGGACTAGAGGGGGTGAGGTTAACAAGTCGACCAGTAGATAGCAGGGCTAGAGGGGGTGAGGTTAACAAGTCGACCAGTAGATAGCAGGGCTATACAGGGAGAGGTTAACAAGTCGACCAGTAGGCAGCAGGGCTAGAGGGGGTGAGGTTAACAAGTCGACCAGTAGATAGCAGGGCTATACGGGGTGAGGTTAACAAGTTAGTTGACCAGGTAACAGCAGGGATATACGGGGTGAGGTTAACAAGTTAGTTGACCAGGTAACAGCAGGGCTATAGGGGGTGAGGTTAACAAGTTAGTTGACCAGGTAACAGCAGGGCTATAGGGGGTGAGGTTAACAAGTTAGTTGACCAGGTAACAGCAGGGCTATACGGGGTGAGGTTAACAAGTTAGTTGACCAGGTAACAGCAGGGCTATAGGGGGTGAGGTTAACAAGTTAGTTGACCAGGTAACAGCAGGGCTATACGGGGTAAAGTTAAGGTAACAAGTAAGTCAACAAGTAGTCGACTGCGACACTGCTTGCGTTGCGAGTTCAGCAGCAGCGGCATGATTACCTCCGTCCGTCACCGCAGAGGAGTTGGAACAGAAGTCTTAGCCTGAGCAATTTAACCTTCACTCGAGAGTCGTGTCTTTTTGTGTGTGTGGGGGTGTGTTTGGGGGGGGTCGAGTCGACCACGAGAAACTGCGGCGGTTGTTGCGGTGGAGTCTACCCCTCTGAGACACAGTGCATGTGATGTCCGTGTGGAGTCGCTGTCAACAAATATCACGGGTCGAAGGAGCAACAACGGAAGAATAATAAGAATAATAATAAGGGTGCAGTATTGCCCAACAACATGAGCTACCTTGTCATTCTTCACTTATACGTGTATATTGGTATTTTATATTAAAACAACAGCGTATTGAAATGCATGTATGATTACGCTATGTGGTGTACGATTATACCCGTGTTAAAACGCGTGCGTGCGCGCGCGCGTGACTGTGTAATGTTTAGTGAGATGCATTCGTGGTGCGTTCTAAAAGTTAAATCTTCGTATTTTTCGCGTATTATATCTATCTCTCTCACACACACACACGCTGTTGGTTTGGTTTTGTATAAAATTATTTCGCGTTTCGTTTTTCAGCAAGGAGGATAACAAAAAGACACATCGCTGTCCCATTATATTTTGTGTCACGCGTGGTGCAACAGAAGAGGGTATTTAAGTTACTTACGTAACAGTGAAAGCACGAAATATATTAAATGACAACACCTCGCAGATGCAATAATACCTCCACTCTCACGTGGTATTTGCACCCATGCAAACGCACATTATTCCAACAAACATCTCAACGCATTGCTCAATGACAACATTGTGGCCTTAAAATAAATATATGTACTATATATACATCCACTGTACACAATAGGCAACGTTTCAGGAAATGTTCCCTTCTTTCATGTGCTATGAAAAAGGACCATTGCCCAAAACGTCGCCTATCATATATTTGTATATACTTTAAGGCCAACGGTGTTGTTAACGAACGTTGTGTTTATTGTTGCCGGTGTTGTTATTAAGTGTGATTGCGCACTGCAATACTGCCAACCCAGCAACAACGCCATCAGCATCACCACCACCAAATCAAATGTATTCCGCACCTACGGTGAGCACGGCTGAACACGTCCGGTGCGAAAGAAGTTCAACATACATACACAACGAATTTGAGTCAGGAGGCGATCAAGCGAACGTCTTGAGAACTAAGACAGCCGAAGCAACTTCAACAACAGAGCTAACAGCTTGCCCATGTAACGATTACGACGAAGCCACACATATACATTAATATCCAGCACATCCGTCTATACAGTACACGCACGACTCCAGATCGTCAGTCCCATGCACCCGCTGAGACTGCACGAAAGGGGATTCGGACTCTCCATTTACAACGTCATTGCGGGTCGTGGAGATGTATTTGACCATACTTCACCAAATGTATTGAATCGCAAACAGACGAACAAGAACATTGTACAGGCACATTGATGTCAAGGTTGGGGAAGGGTGGGGGGGGGATGACGACTATTGAGAAAAAAAATAAAATCCTAAATGTGTATGTTGCTCGTACTTTTAATTCACGTCTTGTTGTTGTTGTTGTTCTTAAGGCGTGTTCACCGCCCTCGTGTGTATACAATGCGTAACATTCCCACTGCCTTTTGTGTCAAGTCTGGGCTCACCCCCACCGTCTGCAACCCCGCACCCCCGACTGGTTTTTAGACGAGGGGAGGGGCTGGCTTGACGTGTGGGGGGGGGGGGCATGCAATTGAATACCGTGGATAATTCGTATCGCGATTGCTTTGTGAGTACGACCACCAGAGCCATAACAGACTCGGCCAATGGTTGGCTCGTGAATGATATCAGATTTGCTATCTGCGTAATATAAAGTGGGGGGTGGGGGGGGGTGGTGCACAAATGGCACCCGCTCATGGTCGAGCGAAAGCGTCGTCTGGGACGTCGAAAGCTAGACCGAGTGCCACACTAGTCCCGCTTCGGACACATGGCCACCTAAGCCGCTCGCCGATGTTGTTATTGACGGGGAAGACGCTCAGACACACGCGCGCGCGCGCGCGCGCGCTCAGACACACGCGCCCGCACGCACGCACGACCACGCACTCTCTCACTCGATCGTAAACCGCGGCGTCTGTAATGAAAATGCTTAGGCAGGCAGACAGGCTGCTCGAAGAATTCCCCTTTCTGTCTGTCTCTCTTGAAATCGTCCGTGGAAATAATAATGATAATGCGCGTGTGTGTGTGTGTGCGCGCGTGTGATACGGGTCAGGTAGGTACGCACTGCATATGTATGACAGCGCGATAAACCAACCAACGCCACCTCTCGTCGTAGCCCCACGCAAAACCCCCACAAAACACGGCCGAACCAACAAACATTAAACAAAAAAAACGACTTGCGCTCGATTAATAAAGAACGGATAATAATAATATCCGTTGCATCTTCAAATGACTTTATTCGTTCCGTTTGCCCACGAAAAAAGAAAAGGCGGGTCGGTTACTAACAATAATAACAATAAAAACTCGTTTGGGTAGAAAATCCTCCCGCTTTACCATTGTTTAAAAAAAAAACCCTATTTAAATGGCTTTAACAGAGTCGAGATGACTGATGCGCCTTTCGCATTGCCCGCGTGTATTGGCTAACCGCATACCACATGGCGCTGCCACGTGACCTCGCCGTACCAGCGAGAGAGCCGTGCAGTTGTAAATCTGTGGATTTATGTCGTCGTAATTCACGGATTTCTCCCGAGTTTTTTTTCAAATAAAAAAGACTAACGTTTCTGCATGCAAATCATTAGGGCCAAATATGAATTCTGCATATTATATGAACGCTCTGTTTTCTAAATATGCCTCGGAAAGCTCCGCGTATTTGTCCGCCGGAGGTTTACCCGAAGCGCCCTGCGGACCCTACCCGAGCGAGAGCTGCCCGCCTGCGAGCGCCATCTCGGCGCCCTTAGCCGCCTCATCCACCACCACCTCCACCTCCTCGTCGTCATCATCATCATCCTCATCGTCGTCCTCTACCTCGTCTTCCCCTTACGCGGCAGCCAGCGCGCTCTACCATCATCATCACCACCACCACCAACAGCAGCACCATCATCATCAGCAGCAACACCATCACCACCCAGCCTCTCTGTACGGATCGTCGGGCTTTGGGCTCGAGCGTCTGGGAGCCGCCGCGGCCGCCTCGCTGCACGGCCTGCAGTACGCCTACGAGCACGGGGCTCTCCACGCCGCGGCCGCCTACGGGGACACGGCGGCAAAGCGCGGCGATGTCGAGGTGGTGGGGACGGTGGCTGGGAAGCAGCAGCACCAGCACCACCACCACCAGCAGCTCCACCAGCAGCAGCAGCATGCTGGGCTGCCGAGCGGAGTGCCCATTTACCCGTGGATGCGCAGCACAGGTATTCGTTGTTATTGTTTGTCTGTCGTCGTCGTTGTTGTTGTGATTCCGACGACAAGCGGCAGCGAGAGACCGAGTCGAGCGACCGGTCGGGGGCAGATTGAGAGACCGACCCGGGGGAGGCCGGGCGGGGGAGACCGAGAGACCGGGCGGGGGGAGACCGAGAGACCGTGCGGGGGGAGGCCGAGAGACCGGCCCGGGGGAGACCGGGCGGGGAGAGGCCGAGAGACCGGGCGGGGGAGACCGAGAGACCGGGCGGGATGAGGCCGAGAGACCGGGCGGGGGGAGGCCGAGAGACCGGGCGGGATGAGGCCGAGAGACCGGGCGGGGGGAGGCCGAGAGACCGGGCGAGGGAGACCGGGCGGGGGGAGGCCGAGAGACCGGGCGGGGGAGACCGAGAGACCGGGCGGGGGAGGCCGAGAGACCGGCCCGGGGGAGACCGAGAGACCGGGCGGGGGGGAGACCGAGAGACCGGGCGGGGGAGGCCGAGAGACCGGCCCGGGGGAGACCGAGAGACCGGGCGGGGGGAGACCGAAAGACCGGGCGGGGGAGGCCGCGCGTCGTTCGCCTTTGTTTTGCCTTGCGCGCCGCCGGCTCCCCTCCCCGCGTCTCCGCGTTCTCCTCTCTCCCGACGCGCGTCTAAGGCCATTGTTAGCGGAAGCGCAAACAGCGCGACGGCTGTGCGGGAGACAGCCGCGAGTCGTCCGCCTGCGATTCGTGTAGCCGTCGTAGACGCGACAGGGAGACTTGTTGGTGTGGTGATTGTGTGGTGATTGTTGTGGTGGTGGTGGTGTTGGTGTGGTTGGTGTGGTGATTGTTGTGGTGGTGGTGGTGTGGTTGGTGTGGTGATTGTTGTGGTTGGTGTGGTGATTGTTGTGGTGGTGGTGGTGTTGTGTGGTTGGTGTGGTGATATGGTGGTGTTGGTGTGGTGATTGTTGTGGTGGTGGTGGTGTTGGTGTGGTTGGTGTGGTGATTGTTGTGGTGGTGGTGTTGGTGTGGTTGGTGTGGTGATTGTTGTGGTGGTGGTGTTGGTGTGGTTGGTGTGGTGATTGTTGTGGTGGTGGTGTTGGTGTGGTTGGTGTGGTGATTGTTGTGGTGGTGGTGGTGGCTCATACTTGTAGTGCATTGTCAGAGCGGCCGCTGATTAGGGTCGCTGTTTGTTATTCGCGGCGCTTAAGCGGTTGAGGTAGCAAACAACACGTGTGCATCACCTCTTGTCAATCTACCGCTGGATGAGGGCCTCCTCCTCGCGGGGAAGTTGATTAAGTTATTTGCTTTCACCATATTCACCACTCTGGTCGTTGCCGGGTTGATGGAGGCGGTAAGTGCAGAGGCGTCGGAGCGTAGTACAGTACAATGGATTTTTCTGCAGCAATAGGCCGTCACTGACAATGTATGGTCTATACGAGAGACCTTTGTCTATACTGCAGTATATAACAAGTCTATACTGTGTGTTCTAGCTGTTTGTCAACAGTATTTGCATGTTGAACTTCTTTCGCACCGTACGTAGCCAACCATGCGAATAGGAAGTGCGATTACTATTTTCAGTGGTCTAAGACTACATGAAGGATCTTTGTCTTGCGCGCGCGTGTATGCTTTTGTGTCGGCCACCACCAGTGACAATTATCTGAACCCGTTCTGAGCCTCCCCTAGGTCGACTCAGCCTCAAACGAGTACCTAGCGCGTTGTGTACACATCGCCACAAAGGGAGACAAAGGCGGCCGGACGTGGTTTTGGCCACCGGCCCCCTCCCCTCGTGTGCCGCGCGGCTGCAATAAAGCGCACGCTAATAGCACGTGTCCCACAAAGGTCTGTCAAACTCGACGGTGGATTGATGTGTGTGCTGTGCGTGCGTGTGTACATGCACAACACAAACTGCGTGTCGATTTAGATGCGATGGGAGTCGGCGGCGGCGCGGTGGTTAAGCGCGCACTGCGCTGCGAACCCGGCGTCGCCCGAGTTCGATTCCCGCTCACGGCGTTCCAAAACACCAGCGACGAGATTTTCTGAACCCGAACTACGAGCTCGGGGGCAGGCGGCGGCGGCGGGGGGGGGAGGTCGACTCAGCCTTAAACGAGTGGAGAGACAAAGGCGGCCTCGTGTTTTCCGGCCTTAATAAGGTCCTCGATTTTTTGTTGTTACATCACCTGACCCCCCACCCCCAAACAGTCTGTGCGGACCACTCCAGAGTTGTCCGCGGTCGCACAAAGAGAGGGAGCAGCTTTTGTTAAAAACTAAACATAATGCGGCCGCCGCACTATCTGCCCTCGTTCCTGTTGTACCACAATGAGCGATTGAGAACCACCCTCGCCGATAAAGTGTAGTCCCGTTGACGTTTCGTTCCCGCGAGTGAACTACGCTTTTACTCGAGTAACTGGACACTGCGTGCCATGAACACAACGCAACCAACCAACGTCAAAATGCGACGATGTCCCCGTAATGTTCGCCCAAGTCCCCGTCGCCTCCGAATGTTACGCGCGACATCAATTATTGACGGGTCTAGTATCATTTGAGTTGCGTTAACGCGGCGATATGATGATGGCTGGTGTTACGTAGCAAGCGCCTGGTTGTATCTATCTCCTATGGCGTGCCCCAGTGCTTGAGGATAGGCGAGGCGAGTCTCGATCTTTTTACGCGTCGATGTTTTCCGGAACGCAGCGAGGCAGGCTGTGGCTGGCTTTTGAATGGGGATTGTCGGCGTAAGGCACTACCACTGGAGTCATAGGTACGCATGCGTTATGTATGTTGAGCTTCTTTCGCACCGTACTTAGCCAACGGTGATACTCCGATGTGCCTGGCTGAGTGCACTCTACTTGTGTATAATATTCTTAAATACAATTCTACCCATGTTCTAAATGGCATAATAGATGTGTGGAGGGGGGGGGGGAGGGTTACATAATTCCCCCAGCAACAGTGTTGCGGCAGACTGGTATAGACCCATTGACAGTGGTTTGGTTATGGCGGCACCACCCCCCCCCCCCCCTCTCTCTTCCCCGCCCGCCCCAAAAGCACAAGGAAGGTTACTAAGGCCACATTACAGAGAGATCGCATGCTTACGCCTCGAGTCACCGCGGTGTTAGACCAGGGCATTCGTTTCATGTTGTGTGTGTGTGTGTGCACTATCCACCCGCCCTCCCCCCCATCTCGCTTTGCAACGTGGCACGCTGACATTTCCCACATTCGCAAACGTCTACCTGCACGGTATCCGTGCCGCAGCCTGCGCCCCACAACGTTGAACAATCTGCAGGCCAATAGAGATCTGGCTTCAACGGCGATGACATTACGCCACGTAGAATTTACTCGCCTACTCATAGACCACCAGGAGTATATTTTATTTTTGGGGGGAGGGGGGGTGATGTAGGGGAGAGGTATTCCCAGTAAAATGCGCTCCCAAGTTATATTTGTTTTCTCCATTTCCCTTTCGTCTATTTTCTGTTCCCCTCCCCCCCCCCCTTAAATCGCCACGAGGAAAACGCCTCGCGCGTGCCGCGACGCGCAGAGTTCCCCGTGAACACGGCGCGAGCGCTTTGCGCAGCGCTCAACTTGGCCACACGGCGGCCAGCGCCACTCGCAACGTCGCGACCTCTTCACCCCCCTCCCCTCTCGCTGCTGGGCAATGGGCGCGTGCGTCTGTGTGAGGGCGTTGCGTACGGAGAGCGATGGCGCAGCGCTTAGCGCTGAACCACTGTGCTACGAAGCCGGCTACGACCACCCCCCCCCCCATCACCACCACCCCACCCACCCTCCCCAGTTCGATGCCCGCTCACGGTCACCAACACCAGGGACGATTATCTAAAAGCCGGTCCTGAGCCCTCTCCCAGGTCGACTCGGCCTCAAATGAGTACCTGGTGCGATGTGTAAACATCGCAACTGGGGAGACAAAGGCGACCGGGCGTGGTGCTGGACACACCTCCCCTTCGTGTGCCGTGTTGGCCTTCATTGGTCAACGTTAACAGCACTTGCCCTAATAGCATGTTAAGGCTATTCGAGGGATCCTTGTCTTTGTATGTACAGTGTGTAAAACATTTGGCATGTTTACTTTAATATTAGAGTGCGTTTTGTGGGTGCGTGTATGCACGCATGCCTGTGTATGTGGGTGTGCATGCTTTTGAGTGTAGAGCATGTTGTGTATATGTAGGGAGCACTAGAGTAGGGGTTAGTGCACTGCGCTACACACCAGGCGACCCGAGTTCAATTCCCCGCTCACGACCAATAACAGCGAATATTTGAATCGGTCCTGGGCCTCCCCTAAGTCAATTCAGCCTTAAATGCGCACCAGGTGCAGTGTGTAGCAAACAGCAACGAGGTCCTATGAAGGCCGTGCCGGCCTTCATAGGACCTCGTTAACAGCACTTGTCCCTACATCCTAAGGCTGGAGGGGGATCTTTGTGTTTGTTTTGTCTTCGCATGTGTACAGTGTTTGTATGTATACCGAGTTGTGGTTCGTGCTCTACGCTCAGTTGCCAGCCACCTGGGTTCAATTCCCGGCAATGTGACCAATAATTAGAATGCACACATTTTTCAGACAGCCTCGCTGAGTCTCTCGACCAGTGTTCTCAGTTGCAAGGCCCGCGGCCTTTAGTGCGGCCCCTGACGTGCGGCGCCCCACAACACGTGACAACGCACAACACGTGACAATACCCCAATGTGCCGTCAAGCCCAACAATAGTGTCAAATGTGTGACCGCCCTGACGTTGATGTCTTATCGGCAAAAGTGGCCTCCCATCTGAAAATTAGTGAAGAACACTGCCCTCTCGACGAACTCTCATGAGCTTCATGCTTTAACACGGTTGACCATTTCCATGAATGTGTGTTTGGCCGATGGGAGAACATTTCAGAGTGCCCGGAGAAAACCCAAAAATGTGAGGGGATAGCACGTGACGCACAAAGCTTCTCACAGATGGATTCATCCCATTGCCGTACTGTCAACTCATGCCCACGTCTCAGAACCAAGTCTGTAATACCTGTTATTGTTCTCTCCCAGACAGTCGTCTCCCAGTCCCACGACTAGCCATGGTCAACACACCCCTGCTTTAGCTCACGACATCTGGCGATATGGGCCTCCTCCTCCTCGGTCGACTCAACCTTATACGATCTTGGCACGTTTTGTGGCATCACCCCCTCGTGTATACTGACGGACATAATTGGTACTCACCGACAGCCCTGCAGTAAGCCCGGGACCCATAAAGCTAATCGGTTGATCTTTATATTTGTTTAGTGTGTGTGCGTGATGATATCTTGTTAAATAGTTTCATTTTACCGAAGATCTTGTTTATCGTACTGGGCCAAACATCCCAATCGTGAAACTCAGTGAGGTTTTTTTTTCCTTGATGAACAACTGATATTTTTCAGCCCAAAGCTTTAAAAAGTTATCCTGAAAATCACTAATTTTGGGACCGCACACAGAAGCAACAGCATTGCACCTCCGAAACTGTGAATACTTGAAAGGATCCTCCTGAAAATTAATCTTGACGCTCGGTAAAGGTTTCCCGGGTAAACAGGTGGAAATGAATAAAAACACAAAGTCATTGTCAATACGAGATAGAATAGTGGTAATATTAACGTGATCAAATCAGATCTGGGAAGCTAAGCAGATTTACTCCTAGTTATATGGCTGAACTAAAACTCAACTATTTTTTTTATTTTACAAGGTAAGGCCCACTGAACTATATATCTCCTTTGCAGAAGCAACCTGGTCACAAATGACAGCTCAACAAAGTGGCTTATCATGTGGAAATGTATTACATCCAAATTCTCTAAACGAATATTTCTAAATGTGGAGGAAAACAAACAGAGGGCCCGGAGAAAAATGCAAGCGACCACGGGGAGAGAGAGAGAGATGCAAACTCCAAATACACAGGAATTCGGGTCGGAAACGAACTGTGTGTATCAGTCGAGGTAGGTAACAGCTTGCCACCGTTGCTTGGGAGGGCGACTTCCTTGTACAACGCGAGTATCTTTGGCCTGCCGCGAAGCTACGTTGTGTGGACAGCATCATATAGATGGGACTGTGCGGAAAGAAGAAAAAACATCTATTGTTAGCTCGAACCGGTGCCGGGCCTCCCCTAGGTCAACTCGGCCTCAAATGAGTACCTAGTGCGGTGTGTAAGCATCAGCGCTGGGGAGACAAAGGTGGCCGGGAGTGGTGCTGGCCTTCATAGGTGCCTCACGCAAAAGCTTTACGGGGGGCAGTCTTTGTTATCCGTGCTTGATACGCATTAAACCCACGGCAAAGTCAGCGTTGTAAATGTGCACAGCAAAGTCGACTCGCCGTATTGTCGAGCAATCATCGGGTTCGTGCAGCGTGCGGAAGGACCTTCATTTTGAGCCGGTAAACGTGGACAAAAGGGCACTGTAACCGTGGCTGGGTCGCAAGGCCTGGAGTTTAACGAAGCCTTCACCTACCGTATGTACCCGACTGTAAGATGCTCTGGAGAGAAAAAAATGCGCACCCAAAACGTATACCTGGTGTCAATAAAGTTGTACAAAACTGGGCTCTCACACGCACAACCAAAGACAAAGATCCCCCGGTGTAGCCTTCACAGATTTTTGGGGCAAGTGCTGTTAGCGAGCACCTATGAAGGCCGGAACGGCACACGAGGGGGCGGGTGGCCAGCACCACGCCTGGCCGCCTTTGTCTCCCCCAGTGGCAATATTTACGCACCGCACCAGGTACTCATTTTAGGCTGAGTCGACCTAGGGGAGGTCGAGGGCCGGTTCAGGTAATCGTCACTGGCGTTGGCCGTGAGCGGGAATCGAACTCTGGTCGCCGGGTTCGTATAGCGCAGCGTGCTAACCGCTACACAACCGCTCCACGTCTCTCACACGCACAACCGCACACGGACACACACACACCGGATCATAAGTCGCATCCTCCAATTTTGTTGACAAATAAGTACAGGGGTGTTGGTGCGTCTTATAATTAATCCGACGGAGAAGGTAGCCCCTATGCACTCCACGTTTCGCACGCCTAACTGACGCGTTCGGTTCCAAAAGAGATCTTACTCTACCAGCGAATGCCAACGTTACGTATATAAACGCATGCAAAAATATATGAAACACACACGGGTCTGCCTGTCGACGTATACATTTTATTAACAAACAAAATTTTTATGTAGGTCCATCAGCCGCCTTCCGCCCTTCGTATATGCGTGCGTGCGTGCCGTACAGTAATGTATATACTAAACCATGTGCATACCCTGACCTCTAGCAATACTGTACGCACATCCCTTCACGACCTTCCGCCACGTCACTCATGGTATAAATATTCCAGTAATGATGAAGATCATCGCGATTACCATCAGCCATGATCTATCAACTGCTGGATGAAGACCTCCCCACGATGCCGCTCTTACCGTAGGAACAGCATCCTCAGCCGTGTAGCCCCTGTTCACGCGAGGACCCTGTTCACGCGAGGACCCGGTTCACACGAGGACCCTGTTCACGCGAGGACCCTGTTCACGCGAGGACCCTGTCCACACGAGGACCCTGTTCACACGAGCCCCTGTCCACGCGAACCCCTGTCCACGCGAACCCCTGTCCACGCGAACCCCTGTCCACGCGAACCCCTGTCCACGCGAGGACCCTGTCCACGCGAGGACCCTGTTCACACGATGACCCTGTTCACGCGAGAACCTTGTTCACCCGAGGACCCTGTTCACCCGAGGACCCTGTCCACGCGAGAACCCTGTTCACGCGAGAACCCTGTTCACGCGAGAACCCTGTTCACGCGAGAACCCTGTTCACCCGAGGACCCTGTTCACGCGAGGACCCTGTTCACACGAGGACCCTGTTCACACGAGGACCCTGTTCACACGAGGACCCTGTTCACACGAGGACCCTGTTCACACGAGGACCCTGTTCACACGAGCCGATATGAATGGCTCCATCGCTGCAGTGGTGTTTCCCTCCTTCGACTGCCATTCCGTCAGCAGTCTCGCCCACCGGCCATCGACCAACCCCTTCTACCAGTGACGAAGTCCCTGCACTTAGCCCGCTAACTTTCCTTCAGCAGTGAATCGTTTTTGTGGCCTCACAGGCGATACGCACCGGACGACAACTCCCCCCCCCCTCTCTACGCACAGTGGTGTGTTCCGTTCCATTATGTTCTCTCTTTCCCATAACCGCACCCTACCATTCTCCCTAATCTCGCTTTCAATGAACCGTTTTGCTCCGCAAGCGCATCACCGAGTATCCAGACTCTTTTTTTGAGCAGGGCTCTGAATTTTTGGGAACCCGCACGCGGCCCACCCCGCGAAGTGCGGCCACACGCGCGAGCCTCGACTGAGACCGAGAGAGTCTCACTCGCAAGACAAATCTGGGCTCTTTGCCAGCACCTTATCTCACGAGTGCCTGCGCGCCTGTATCTTCACGAGGGTTATGTGTAACTATATTGTTTCGTCACTGTCGTCTCCCTTTAAACGTCCAATAGCATTCAGTCTCGAAACTAAAAACTAAACTTTTGTTAATAATTTTACCAGCTAAGGCCCACTGAGCTGTATAGCTCTTTTTGAGAAGCGACCTGGCCATCACAAATGATAGCCCAACGAAGTGGCTCATCATGTGGACATTTATAGCAGCCAAATACTCCAAACGCATGTTGATTCTAAATGTGGAGGGAGAAAAATCCATGGGGAGAGAGAACATGCAAACCGCAAATATACAGACGCCACGGTTGAGATCGAAACCAGTTTAATTTCCAGTTTAGTAAAAGTCGCCCGGCCTCTTGCAATCAACCAGTAATGATATCACCTGGCACATCATCCCGTACTCCAATCCGTCCACTGTCTCCCAATCCAATCGCTGATCAATGTCAAGACCGCACCGTCTTCCAGGTCCTCCATGTACAGGGTGGTCCAGATGTCTTGTGACGCCCCCCCCCCCACGCTATTTAATTATTATAAAAATACACATGCAAAGGAAAAATAATGTTAGTGGTAAATTAATTGGCGGGTCACAAGACATCTGGACTACTCTGTACTCCCCTCCCCCGAGTTCCCCAGCTCCCTCTCCTCTCTCATCTCACTCCAGGCACTGTTCCGCACCCCCCCCCCCCTACTCTCAGGTTTCTTTACTCCCCTTCTCCATGCACCCTCTCTCCACTCCAGCAACCAAGGCGTTCTGTCGGCTCCCAGCCCACCCTTCGCCCGCTAGGAGGTCGCACATTCTCCTCTGCTGCCCCCGCATCATCCGGAATTCCCTTACGACAGCCATCCGTGCTGTCGACTCCCTGCCTCTATTCTCGTCCCGGCTCGAGTTTCATTTTTGTTTCTCTCGCTCTCTATGAAACAAAGATGCCCGCTGTTATACTCGAGAGGCCGTCGCGTTTCGACTCTCACCATCAGCAGCAGCATCAATCCACTGCTGAATCAAGGCCTCTACAAGCTGCCTCCACCTCCCACGACTCGCCCCTGGCATACGAATGTGGAACGTCCACCAACTGGCTCGGTGCCGTAAACGGGAGATCGCCGCCAATTGCACGGTGGTCATTTTGAAGCGGAGGAGATCGCTTTGACGTCTTTGACCGATGATTGTTGTACTTATCATCATGATCATCATTATTGTAACGTGTGCCCCACACACTCTCTTGCACCACGCAGGAGGCCACGATGGCAAGCGAGGCCGGCAGACCTACTCGCGCTACCAGACCCTGGAGCTGGAGAAGGAGTTCCACTTCAACCGCTACCTGACGAGGAGGCGCCGCGTCGAGATCGCCCACTCGCTCTGCCTCACCGAGCGCCAGATCAAGATCTGGTTCCAGAACCGCCGCATGAAGTGGAAGAAGGAGAACAGGGGTCCGAACCCATCGCCCGAGGAGGCTCACGAGGAGGAAGACGACGAGGAGGAGGAAGAAGAAGAGGAGAAGAAGGCCGAATGATGATGATGATAGCGATGGTCGTAAGAATGATGATGATAGCGATGGTCGTAAGAATGATGCTATGATTTGTCCATCCCGAGATGCGCATTTTACGTTCGACCGATGATTGGTGAAGATGATGATTATGGTGGTGGTGGTAATGATGATGATGATGCCGGTGATGACGGTGATGGTGGATGTGGTTTGATGGTGATTATAGCGGTGGTGGTGATGTTGTATTGTGTGATCCAAGGCGTGCATTTTACATTAACTCGCTGACGATGGTGTGATTAGGCCTTGTCCAAGAGTGCATCTTGTGATGATGATGGTGGTGGTGACGACGATGGTGCTGATGATTATGGTAATTTGGTTGGCCCACGCCATCCCGTTTTTCTTCAACCGATTAACGATAATGACGACGATGGTAACGATTGTTGGTGGGTTGGTGAGTGGAAGTCGCCTGGCTTTATAACCCAGCGATCATCAAACGCATTCTTGAGTGACCCGAGCCATCCACGCGTCGTGCCCTGACACGCACACCCCGTGTGTGTGTGTTTTGGCATGTTATAACATATAATACACGGAGTCGCTTTTTTAATTTCTTGTAAATCATAAACCGCAATTTTAACTCCCCGTTTTTTGCACGCTCAGTGAACCACTATCTGGAATGTTCAATATATACGCTGTCTTAATTGTGTTTTAAGAATGGTTTAACCAGCCTGGTGTCTCAGCTGTAGAGCGAGCGACTCCCAAGTCGGTGGTGTGGGGGGGGGTCGATAAAATTACTACCACTTTGTGACGATGTCCACAGTGGTTGTCTTACGGATATAGATTGAGTCGTCGTCGCCGCCGCCGTCATAGGAATGTGGAATTTCCCGCCACTGGCTCAGGGCTTTAAATACCGCCTCAAAGCTGCTCATTTGAGCATGAATTACTACCACGATAATCTAATAATGTTTAACGCTCCAGGTGTTTCCTCGCGGAGTAAACTATAAGTACTGTACTCAATAGGCGACACAAATTAGTTTCATGTAAAACTATTGAATAATAATGATAGCAATACTCTAGCCCTGCTTAGAGGTATTAGCTTTCAAAAATAGATCAAGGAAATAACTACCTAGACTCGAGCAACGCCAGTACTTTAATGATGCTACCTATGAATTACTACCAGTATATACACGTGCAGTGTGCACACACACCGGTCGTGATTAAACAGCAAATGGTGTTTTGTTACAACTGTGACTCGTTAAAAAAAAAATACAATATCCCCGTTGACAGATCTGATTAACGATACGCATATATATACATAGCAAGTGTGACGTTTGATGCGCACGTATAGGATCTGTGACGTGTTGTGTAGATATATTGCGCGTGTGTGTGTGTACGGGGCGTTTGTCTTTCTTACTTCCCCTAAGTAATGGTTACCTCTCGAAACGTAGGGATCACCTTTATATATAAAAACCCCACACACATACACTACCGTCTTACCTTGTAAGCTAGTCAACCACCATATAACCTTGCGTGTCTGTACTTTATATGATTTACCAATAGTGTGACTATATATAGGATTATACTCCCAAATGTGAAAGTTACAACAGATAATACAGATTCAATTCGTGTGATTGTAATATTTATTACATATACGTGACTTTTTTGACAAGATTTTACAAGGCATGTGTGTTGTCGTTGTCGTCGTCGTTGTTGTGGTTTTTGTTCTTCCACTTTGTCTGCTGCGTGTGTATCATCAAGGCGAGTCTGTGTCACGCGTCCGACAACAGCTGTGGCTCAAAATATCAAGTAGTTCAGTGTGCGTGTGCATGTTTCTTGATAATTTTCCTTTTTTTTTTTGCTAAGAGTGTTATCAAAATAAAGTAATAATACAAAACGAAATTTCTACCGCGTCTTCGAGTGTAAAGCCATATTCCATTGCAGTGTTTTCGTGATTAGCATTCCCACATAGGGGGTCCGTGTCGTGTATTCGGTCTCGTTTGGACGATAGCACTCGTCAGACAGCTAGCTTCGCGTGAACATCCCGTAGCGCGATCACATCACCATAAACCAAAGATCCCCCGTACAGAATTTAACAAGACTGTTGGGGCAAGTGCTGTTAGCGAGGACCCGTGGAGGGTGGCGCGGCACACGACGGGGTGGTGTGTGGTCAAGCCTGTCCGTCTTTGTCTCCCTTGCGGCCTTTAAACGAGTACCTCGTGCGGTTTGCATTGAGCATCATCACTTGGGGAGACAACGGCGGCCCGGCGAGCGTGGTTCTGACCACACCACCACCACCCATCGTGTGCCGAGGTGGCCTTCATAGGTGCCTCTCGCTAACAGCACGTGCCCCAACAGTCTGTTAAAGGCTGTACGGGGGGGATCTTTGTCTTCGTTGCGTATAGTGGTGAACCCATAGGGCTATTGGTAGCGTTGTGCATAGATGTATGCGTGAACACACATTGTATGATCGTAAGTTCACGAGCTCTGTTCAGAACGAGAAGCTTGCCATAATGAGCATGTATCGTGACGCATGATAGATAATATTCGGCTTGAACGTGTATAATTAAACACATCTAACACAAATGGCTATCGTATCTGAACCGATCCTAACTCCGCCGCCACCATCATAGGCGTGGTGAAAGTATGGTTAAACAAGGCCTTCATCCGGCAGTGGATTGACACAGAGCTGATAATTTTTTTTCTATTTTAAAATATATTTTATCAAGAGGCGTTGTAACGTTACGCAGTGCGTGCACTGCATAAACAAAATACAACTGATCGAATGCAAAACTTAAAAAAGTACAACTTGTCGCGTTCAGATTAAAATGTGTCCACACCACTCACGACGATCTAAGTGATAAGACTGCATCTTAAAGGCAACTGTTGACGTCGTTTTTTGTAATTCAGTACGAGCGGTGTGTGTGTGTGCGTCTGTGATATAATTACGGCGAATGCGATTGTATTTGACTACTGCGTTGGCAGCGGCGGACGACTACAATACACTCAACAACAACTCGCTCAATAGCAACAACGCCGTGGCTTTCAAATGATAAAATATACATTTAATTGTCGACGTTTCGGGCAATGGCCCTTCCTGATAGCACATGAAGCAATTTGTTTCGGTTTTCAGTTGGTTCTGTGTGCCATGAAGAAGGGCCATTGCCCGGAACGTCCCCGATTAAATATATTTGATTATTGATCATGCCACATTGTTGCTGACGAGTGTGTTGAGTTGTGGGTGTTAGTGTTAAATACACAGTACACGATCTGCAATGTCGTTTTTAACAGCGCGCGTATGCTATGCAACTGACGCCATGAAATAATAATAATGATTACGCTCGTAAAAATATATAATTATAAGATAATTCATTTGTGTAACGCCAACGTGCACAGCCCTTGGTAAGTCCACTGTTGGGCAGGGTCACGAGTTTATTCCACAGGAACTATGCAGTGAGGGTTTCGTGTATACGGAGACGAGACGGCACTGACGTTTGTCGCCGTGATAGGTCTCGTGATCTCAACGGAGGTGTTTCTGCTGTGTTTTGCAATTGTCCTGCGCTTAAACACTGCGCCACCGCTCCACTTGCAATCTCTTTTAGTCGATCTGACATTGTTTGAATCACCCACACGCGTCTTTAAAGATCAGTACCGCGCGGTTTTCGCTTATATATAATTGTGAATCGCTGTGATATGGAGCCGATAGTGGGATTAGTTTGTCACAAAAACGGTATGTACGTCACCGTATTTGCCGATTGTTCAGATTTGTATCCTATATATGAATTACAAATATATGACAATGTTTACAATTATCATTGTTACACGTAGGGGTCTTATTTGTTTCCGCAGTCCAGATTGAAAACATGCTCTTGTCTCGACTGCTTGTGACTGATCCTGCCTCTGTCGAACCCTGGGGTAGGCAAACCAAAATACCAAGAAACCATTTTTTGATCGAATTCGAGTAAAAAAAAAACCCGCAATATTTAAAGAGCCGCAATGCAATGTCAATAATGTCACGGATCAGTCCTCAAAGTGCCGCATGCGGAGCCCCAGGTTGCCGTCTCCTGGACTCTACAAGACACATCAGCCGCGGTTTCTTCACAGCGTCTTGAGACGTGGTGCCATCTCGACTCCGTAAACATCTATATACATATTATATGTATTACGCTATGTACACGTGTCACGGCTCGCGACAACCGGCACGATTTAAGGTTGTTATACAAAACAGATACGCTTACTTGAATTGAGCAAGGCTTTGTCTATAGGTAGCTACGAACTTGGGAAAATAGATTATTTGAAGTGAATTCCAAATTTGGGCGGTAGTTCTTTTAATCGCATAGGCTAATGTACTGTGATTATTTTATTATTCTTCACTGCTGCTATTATTAACCAACAACATTACAAAAACGTCGTGCGTGCTCTGTGCATCACACCACAGGTAACAATGACCAAACGATCGCTGAACTTGAGCGGTCATAGTACTGTGCTGATTAAACACACTAACCCCAATTAAGACGCTCTTAGTTTGAAAATTACATTCATCATTATTTTGTGTGTTCAGTGTATTGGCATTATTAGTATCACGTGCAAACAAGACGACGTTGCGAGCGCGCAACAAAGTAGTGCCGTCATTAGGCAGTCTCCGTCGACGGTGCGCGGACGTTTCACGCTCGGTGGGCGCACAAAGGCAACGCAAGAACAACCCCATCACTTCCCCCCCCCCTCCACCGCGTCTATGTTCGTGTATCCCTTCGCGTAGTAGACAACGGCACGAGACGCGTAGTGAGAAAATAAGTCGCTTGTTCATATTCGTGATGTATGTCTCAATCCTATCCGCACGGCGCCTTGGTTTGGTGAAATAGACATCGGGCAAATGCATCAGCAGCATCGCCCGATTGGTTCGAGCGAAGCCCGACTGCTGATGTGACACTGATAGTCAGAAGCCGGTGCAAGTTTTACTTTTGTTTTACAATTTGCTTGTGTTGAACCAATACTTGCTGATACAAGCTGACGGGACGCCGCCTTACCGAAGCGAGGCCGTGTCGCTGGCCCGATGGGGTTGAACGTGGAGAGCCCAAATATGGGTCGGATGAGTTATTTGTCTCGCACTCGACAATTATCTCAAAAATGTTTTATCGAAAAAAATTTGAGCACAGATTCCCGATGGCTCGAGATGGGGAGGTGGGGGCATCACTCAAAACGGACGATTCGTTGCCAAGTTGCCTGGCGGTAACGATTTCGCCGACCCAAAAAAAAATCGGACGGAATATTTTTTTTGTCCCCAAAAATGTTTTGAATGTTCTAACCGTTCGCATATAATACAACAACAAACTCCCACGGTTAAATATAATCATTTACAAACAGCGGCGCACCAACCACAATTAAATATATATAACAATTGCTGTTGTATAAATACCATGCATTTATATAAACAGTGTATATCAATAAATACAATCAACGAATTAAAGTAATTGTATAACGTATTTCGCGATAATACGCCTATATGTGGATATTCGTACACACTTAATCTAGTATTATTTTATTGTTCTATCTACTTGACTTTACCGAAAAACCCCAAAGACTATGAATTCCTGCAGTCACGAAAGTCAATATTTAATCCAGTAATTGATATATGTATATATATATAACATTTATACTGTTGTGAAACCACGCGCATGTCCAGAATACGCGACCGTATTTAATTGTTTTAAGCGCGACAATTTAAAGAGTGCAGAACGATACTACTACACGTCCGAATAATTGCAGACATTATTAGTCTTTGACAAAAGCGGAAAGCTGAGACTCAATAGTCTGATCTTTTAACATCCATTTGAAAACTACCTTTTATTTCAAACGAAATATATATACAAACATAATCCCTGTAATTGTAATATCATTATAATTATAACAATCTATAAGTATACATTTCCAGTATCGTGAAACCAGACGTAACGGCTACAAATACCCGCATGGACAACAATCATATTTGGCCGTGGGAAGCAACGTGTGATCGTACGATTTTTTTCAGTTCAGCTATTAAATATACTCTATTTTATTTATATATACGAAAATAAAAACTACGTCAATATTTTATAATTATATCTCGACTTATTGTTTTCGCGTAAGGGGCTCTGTAGTTATTGTTATTATTATTACACGGCTATAGCATGCGCGCTCGACTTATGGTGTTTATATTCGCTGCGCCAAAAAAAACATACCTCAAAATTTCGCTATCTTGTCGACATTATTATTCAAATATATATTTACGCCATCACATTTATCGCAAATTAAATAGACGTAGTATATATGTGTGTGTAAACACACACACACAATCTCGCACACACAAAGTGCGCTTGTATTATGTACGCATCTCGCTGTCTGCCGTCATGATCACAATTCGAATCTACACTCCTCGCACAGGTGTTGTTACTCGCAGAGCCAGGCTATGTACACAAAGGCACGAACGTCGAAGTCACGATCGCTATCATCTTTGTTGTTGTTGTTGTTGTTGTTTTTGTCCGGTGGTTGTTTGTTTGGTGGTGGTGTTGCTCGCGACACGGTCGGTTATATGGTTTTGTTTTCTATTTGAAGTAAGAAATTGTTCAAACTTTGTGGGTTTTTTTTAGTTTTGAGTCCGCCATATTATTCCATTTAATTATTCGTTTTTTTTGTTAAATGTGTTTTTGTTAAATGTTTTTTTGTTTAAATTGTTTCGCCCTTTCTCCATCCCCCCCCCCCCCCCTGTCTCTTGGCGAGCGCCAAATCCGCGACTCTCGCCCGGTCCAAAATGGCGGCGTCTTCCTTCTGTCCTCTCAGCGCGTCACTAGAAACACAGTAAATTTGACGATGGTTTATGACAATTTACAACTTTGTGGAACAACTTTACGACGCGAGCGTTTCTCCCATTGGCCGAGCCCGACCATGTGGAACGGAGCAATGAACATGAACTTTTTTTTATGAATTTCACAGCAATTATTTTATGCATTTTAGCCGAAACCTCCGTCTAGGTAGGAACAATCCCTGAGCTTAACACCAACACCGCCACCATCACCACCCACTCCCCCCCCCAAATCCAGAAACATTACGGTTTTAGCGCGCGCGGTTCATAATGGCCGAGGCTTATAGGGGCAACAGGAGGCGGAGCGAGGTGGCGTTTTGCCGAGTTGAATGGACCGCGTTGGCGCTCGCGAGAAAAACATTTCAGCTTAAAACTCCAAAACGAAAGGGGGCAACGGAGCCTGGGCCGAGTGTCTCTCGGAGCCCCGTGACAGAGACATCCGATCTCCCTTAGAGAGAGAGACAACAGCAGCCACCAAGAGACCTCCCGAGCCTCTTCCGACCGCCGTCGTCCCGAGCCCCGCGGTGTCACCGGGGCCCAGCCGAGGGGTTTTTGGGGGTCCCCCCCCCCCCTCGCCCCCGGTGGGGCGATCTTCCCTACCGCAGCGAAACCCCCGGGGGTAAGTTTAAGTACGCACGCGTACGCAATGCACGCGCACACAAAAAAACGGCACACGTGTACGGCAGTGTACTCACGCGCGCGTACGCACGGAACGGGACGGAGGAATGCATCATCCATCCACGGCCGCCGGAGCCGCCGTCAAATCCTCCCGGCACGCGCTCTTTATTTGATTGCGCGCGTGCAGTGTGCGTCGGCTGCGAGACTATTCATCGTTGTGATTATTCATAAATATGTATTGCCGTTGCGATTATTGATAACGGCGGTGGTGGCGGTGGTGGAAATGTTGGTTGATGATGTGGAGTGACGTGGGGGGGGGGGAGGAAGAGACGGTCGGCTGCGCGCGAATACGCCACGGCCAACATCACCCACGCGCGTGCCAGTTGCAACGTCCGTGCGTGCGCCAATTTGATGTATTATTAACACTCAATGTTATTATTATTGATGGTGTTGATGAGTGATGATGTCGGTGGTGGTGGTGGCGGCGGTGATGATGATGATGACGAGAGACGGGTGACGGCAGAGTCACGTCGGCGTGTCCGCGGCTCGGACACGAGGGATGTGGCGCAGTTGATGCGGTACTTCGTGCCCGGTGCTCACCGGAGCGGTGATCGCTTTTTTGGGCGGGCAAGGAGAGCGGCTCGCGGCGTCCACTGCGAGGCTCGAATCGCGGCGCCGCGGAACGGACGGACGGAGCGAGGCTACAACGCCACGGCGGCGAATTAAGAGAGAGAGGGGAAGAGGGATTAAAGGACGCCTCGACTCGACCCGATTCGCGCCCGCGAATTGAATTAAATCTCGGTGTACGTCTGTGTATTGTCTGGTCTGTGTCTGTCTGTGTGTCTTTGTCTTGTCTGTGTGTGTGGTACTGGCCACCCACCCCCTCGTGTGCCGTGCCGGCCTTCATAGGTGCTCGCTAACAGCACTTGCCCAAAAAGTCGGTTAAGGCTATTCGGAGGATCTTTTGTCTTTGTGTGTGACGCTGTCTGTGTGGGGAGCGGTGGCGCAGTGGTTGGCGCACTGCGCTACGAACATAGCCAACCCGAATTTGGTTCCCACTGACGACCAATAACAGTGGCGAATATCTGAACCGGTCCTGCCCTCCCCCCTCCCTATGTCAACTCAGCCTCAAACGAGTACCTGGTGCGATGTGTAAACATCTGCCACGAGAGAGACAAAGGCGGCCGGACGTGGTGCTGGCCACCCAGCCTCTCGTGTGCCGTTCCAGTTCTTCATAGGTGCTCGCTAACAGCACTGGTCCCAGCAGCCTATTCATGCTTTATCTTTACGCTGCCTGTCGATATGAATGCCAATCTATATCCGCAGCACGCAGACGCACTCACGTAAGTAGTCTCTATACGTGTACGTGCCTCGCGCAATTGACCACGGTGTAGCTGTTGTTATAAGATTGAATACAATTTACTACGTTACTACGTACACGTTACTACATACATTCACGTATAACATAGACAAGAAAACGATGCCCCCGTATAGCCAGCTACACAGGCTATTGTTAGAAGGGCAAGTGCTGTTAGCAAGCATCTATACCTACTCACAAAGACTAAGATCACCCGAATAACCTTGTAGACTGGTAGAACAAGCGCGATTTAGCAAGCTCCTATCAAGGCTGGCACGGCACACGAGGGGGTGTGGGTGGCCAGCTCACAGACAGACAGACGCGCACGTACACGTTCGAGTGCCAATTCCATCGCTCGTCGCGAACTACATATTTGCCCCCTACGATCCATCGCGTGAAACGTCCGCGCCACTTAGCCAGGCAATTGTTGGGGGGCCTGCGGGCGACAAAAACCCACGGGCGACCGGGGCAGTGTTGACCAATTGCCACTCGAGATAAGGACAAATGTTAGCGACCTACGAAAGGGGGTGGGGGTGGCAAACACCACGCCCGGCCGCCTTTGTCTCTCCATTGCTGGTATTTACACACCGCGCCGGGTTGTTTGCTCAATCTACTGCCGAGTCGATCTAGGAGAGGCCCAGGATCGGCTCAAATATCCACCGATGTTTATCGGGCGCGAGCGGGAACCGAACTCGGGTGGCCGGGCGCGTCAGTACGCTAGCCGCTACACGCACACACACACGCGTACACATACGCATACACGTGTGTCAAAAGTGATATTATATAATTATTTACACAACTCTATGCGGCATCCGTCGACTGGTGCACACCCCCCACCACCACCACCACACCCCGTATCACATAAGGCGTCGCGTAAAAGCGCTGTAGCGCGAAAACAGCCCGCTGAGACTGCGTTTGTTTGTGGATGCTGTTACAGTTTTGCGAAGATAATAATCGGTGGTCTTGTTGCTTCTTTTGCGGATGCGCAGTGCTGAAACGAAAGGAATCTTTTTTTTTTACATATAATAGGATATATCCTTGCCACCGTTATTGCCATTCATCAGCTGTGTAACACGGCGGGAGCCATTTTCTGAAGAGCACGCGCAGGGCCGATGAGTGACGCGCGTTTGGGAATGTCATGTTGGGAATGTCATGTTGGCTCGCTACTTATGACAGTGTCCGGTAACCTATCGGGTCGTACTGCTGCTGATGCTGCTACTGCCTATCGCGCGTATTACTTATCTTCAGCAAGTCGAGTCTAATTCACCCGGATATTAAGTTATCATCGGTACCGTTTGTGCAGTGCTGTTGTGCGTGTGCTTTCGTTTGTTGTCGAGAGTGCTTGCTCTTAGCGGTAGGAGCGTATGTCACATCTGAAGGAAAGACAAAAGTTACGGTCCGCGCAAAGGCTATGATAAAGTTACATGTTCTACCTTTGAATCGGAATTAAAATGTGTATTTATACTGGAGGAATCCGATAAGCTATAAAGCTGTGTTTCACAGATGTTTAGTAAGGGGCTGGTAAGAACGTTACAGTAACAACAGTTTCAAAACGCGATAGTCGTGCAAATTACAGCAAAGGCAAACAAATCGCCCAAACACTTACGAATTACGCTTAACCATCCCCATGCTACCAGTCAAGCCCATCGAGGTATTAACTTGTTTTTCAGGTGCATTGTTTGGCATGGGTCCAATAAAATCAGGCATAATTAAATATTACAGAGGGGGAATAAAACGGTGAGAAAGAATTCCGAAGTATTTTGGGGGAGTGTGTATGTGTGTGTGCCAATAATGTCTGCGTATTGCTTGAGTGAGTTAACGACACCTCCTCCCTAAGCAATCATGTGTAGTCGAAAATCCGGCCGCAAGTAATTGTAAAAAAGAACGGCTGCTTTTTGTTAACTTCTGAAAAAAAATGTTCGGCACCGATACTTGAAATAAAAAAAATTAGCGTCTGGCGTCGTAGTTGTAATTATTATTTAAAAGGACAAACTTGCAGTTAAGCTGCGGCAAAAATTGACAACAACAAAAAAAATTAAGCCGGATAAATTAAACAATGTAATGTATTCACCTCCGGCGCTCGCCGTAAAATAATTAATAAATGCGCGCATAAAAGGAAGGGTCACGTGGTTGTGCGCGACTGACGTGGTTTTTCCGCAGTGCGGAGGTTTTCGGGCCGGGGGGAGATGGAGGTGGGGGCTTCGAGGGTGGTGATGGTGGTGGTGGTGTGGAGGGGCGATTGGTGGTGGTGGTCGTGTGGAGGGGCTATTTGCTGGTGGCCGAAGCGCGCGCGGTGGGATCCGGGGTCGCTTGAGGAACGGCTCCCCGCTATGCAGTCCCGAATAGCGGCGCCTCTGCACAAGCAGCCGGGCCACCCCGCGGCGCCGAATTCTCTGCGTGGCCCTCGCAATCTGCACGCCACGACCGCGACATCGACGCTCATCCTTATTCGTCATCACGGGTTTCACTTGACTTTATACATCGCTGCGTGTCGCTTTATAAAGAAAATTGCGTGCAACGAGAAACGAAAATCGATTGTTTAGATGTGGGGGGAGGGGGGGTGGTGGTTTCTCGAACGACGGAGAGAAAACGGGATCGCACGTAATTTTTTTTCCCTCTCTCTCTCTAAAGATAAATGACGTGAACAGCTCGGTGGATGCGTTGTGGGCACGTCAGGACGGCCGGGTCGACGTTAGCAGGCAGCCGCCCGTTTCGTGATTTTGCACAGCTTCGAACGTTCGGGAGGGGGGGGGGCTAAACCGATTCGCGGTTTAAGTGTTAGGCTGCCGTCTGTCTGTGTACACATTTTAATTGATTTTTTTCTGTATTGTGACCCACCGAATTTTCGCCCGCCGCCTCAGATTAGCACCGTGGGCTACGTACGGCGCGAAAGAAGTCCAACATACAGTGTACAGTAGTACATCTTGCAACTCTCTCTCGATACCCAGAAGCCATTTCACGAGAAGGTGGTGGGGGTCGTCGTGATTAGCCCCCGACTCCAGCAGGGCCGCGTGCGTCAGGCGGCAGTCACGCAAATCCGATAGCCCGCTCAACATCGTCACCACCACCATCATCATCGTCGTCGTCGTCGTGAGACAACGTCCGTGAGACGACGTCGCGGAAACATTGGCGAAGTGAGTACGAGAGCAACCAGGACGCGACGTGATTCTGATGGGGGCCCGGCCGGTGGCCGTCTGTCCCCGTGCCTCCCAACCACCACCACCATCCCCCCTCGGCTTCCTTCCTGGCGTACACCCTCCTCCTCGTCACCCTCCTCCTCGTCATCCTCCTCCTCGTCATCCTCGTCCTCGTCACCACCGGCCCCCCGCCCGCCCGCCACCCGCTGTGGTTTTGGCTCGCCTACCCTGTAGGTACGACCTTGCGTGTCCCCAATGCAGGTTTGCAAGGTTGTGACTACAGCGTACGCGACGCCACGAACAATGTCTGCGCTCGCCAGGCGGGGCTGGGTGGAAGGAGGTGCAGATGAGACCCGCGTCCACACCGCAATTCGTACACTCACCAACATCCCCCGCTTCACAACCACCAGCACCACCACTCACCACGTCACCTCACCCCCTACACAACCACTCACCACCACTCACCAACATCCCCCGCTACACAACCACCACCACTCACCAACATCCCCCGCTACACAACCACCACCACTCACCACGTCACCTCACCCCCTACACAACCACCACTCACCAACATCCCCCGCCACACAACCACCACCACCACCACTCACCAACATCCCCCGCCACACAACCACCACCACTCACCAACATCCCCCGCTACACAACCACCACCACCACTCACCAATTTCCCCCGCTACACAACCACCACCACTCACCAACATCCCCCGCTACACAACCACCACCACTCACCACGTCACCTCACCCCCTACACAACCACCACCACCACTCACCAACATCCCCCGCTACACAACCACCACCACTCACCAACATCCCCCGCTACACAACCACCACCACTCACCACGTCACCTCACCCCCTACACAACTACCACCATCTCCACTCACCTCCTAACTTAACCCGCTAAACAACTACCACCACACCTCCACTTCACCCGCTACACAACCACCACCAACCACCCCTCACCTGCCCCATAGCTCTCAACCACGAACAACCACATCGCTAACCACCACCAAACAACACAACCAACCACCCAGTCAGCGGGGCGGCTCTCGGGTACGCAGGCGGTGCAACTGCGTTGAGGCCCACAGGCCGGAACGGCATCGGGCTACGAAATGGAAGGTCGGACATTGGATAGTGGGGGGGGGGGGGGGCTCTCAATGAATCTCACACCGCCCCCCCCCTATGATAACCACGCTTCAACATTGCACCTAACCAACAAACACGCGACCGGACCAGCCAAAGCAACCCAACGGCGCAAGATAACGAGGCAGACAACCTTAACAACAAGCAACAGAGCCCCGTCCGGTAACCTACCCAAAGGACCGAGCGAACAGATCGAGGAAGCCAGCTAGACGTCTCCTCACCAGCCGAGCAATCTCAACTGAGCGAGCAAGCGACCGAATAGAGCCGACTCAACAAAGCAATAATGCCAGCCAAGCAACTTAACCGAGCAACCAAATCCACCATCAAGCTAACGGAGTCAACCACTCTCGGCAAGCAGCCGATCAAAGCAAACAAACTATCCCGAGCTTACCAATCGATAAACCCAAATAACCAACCTTTTCAAGCAACCAATAAAGCAGATCAACTCAGCCTCGTCGAACCCGGCATCGTAATCACCCAAACTCGAGCAACAGACGCAACAATAGCCTGCGGCCTCGCCCAGGCAGCTCACGCAATCAAAACAAGCGACTTAACGAACACGGACTCATGAAGCACGGTGCGCAACTAACCAACCCGAGCGACGAAACTAATCGGCAAACCCAACCAAATCAAATAAGAAACGCAACTAAGAAACCCAACAAGCGCAATCCGAATCGACCCGACATCCAATCCAACTCATAGCCAACCGCCGTAACTCGATCAACAAAGCAAAGTTGCTACCGCGAGCAACGAAACTCACGAAAAACCGACCGACCGACCGACCGTGTAAACTGACCAAGCAAATGTTTAACCAAGCAACTTAACGAGCTATACCCAAACTGTAAAAAAAACGATTCAACCATTAACAATAAAACCCAACATGTTCGGTGAAAACATCAACCAAATCACGAAACCCATGCATACAACACAACCACGCATCCCAACCACGCAACCCACCCACGCAACCCGATCACGCATCCCAACCACGCATCCCAACCACGCAACCTGCCAGTACAAAGTACAACCGCACCAATCCCAAGCAAATTAATCGAACAAACCAAACGCAATCATTCAACCGAATTCAACCAATAACCAAGCTACTCACAACTAACCATCCGAACGCTACCAATTCACTACCGAGCTGTACGCAGTTGAAGATAAGGTCACACACAGTCGCACCGTCTCTACACAAAGACATATCCCCCGTATAGCCTTTACAGGATAAGTTATGTTAGCGAGCACCTATGAAGGCCAGAACGGAACACGAGGGAGTGGGCGACTCGCGGAACACGAGGGAGTGGGCCATTCGCACCACGCCCGTCCGCCTTTGTCTCCCTAGTGGCGATCTATTACACGTCGCACCAGGTACTCATTTGAGGCTGACTCGACCGAGGAGAGGCCCACGACCGGTTCAGATAATCGTCAATGGTGTTGGCCGTGAGCGGGCATCGAACTCGTGTGGCCTACGTTCGGAGTGAAGTGCGCTAACCACTGCGCTACCGCATCGTTTACACACGTACACACACGTGCGTACGTACACACGTGCGCACGTACGCGAAAGATGATTACAACCGCGATATTGTTTGTACAATTATGTCTGTGACACTAGTTGAGCAATGACGTGAATAGCCCCGGGAAGTTAATGACAACAATGATACACCATATAAGAGTATTTTCTAAAATATATACAGTATATAGTTCTGGTTGTTGGCATAACAGCGTATCATAAACTGCAATTGAGATGATGTAGAGATTTCGTACAATAGTGTTGTAGGTAAGCCTGCTAATTGTGCATATGCTATATACATAGCATGTGTGTATGTGTCTGTTTAAGGTACATGTCCCAACAGTCTCTTAAGGCTTCATGGGGGATATTTGTCTTTGTTAACGGCTGTGTGGTGTGGGTTAGTAGTGTAGCGGAAAGCGCGATGCGCTACGAACCCGGCGACGCGAGTTCGATTCCCGCTCAAGGTCAAAAATCGCTGACGAATATCTGAACCGATCTAGGGGCCTTCCCTAGGTCGGCTCAGTTGTGACATTATTACCTGGTGCGGTGTGTCGTGAACATCGGGACATGGTCAGACAAATGCCGCCGGGCGTGGTTCTGGCCACTCAGCTCCTCGTGTGCCGTGCTTGCCTTCATAGGTGCTCGCTAACAACACTTGCCCCTACGGTCTGCTGAAGGGCTATACGGGGGGATCATTGCCTTTGTGTGTTATCTGTGTGGACTGGCGTTAAATCGGGGGTGGGGATGGAATCTGCTTGATAAGCAAATCGTCTGAATAAATGTGTAACGACTGAACTTACGACAATGCCTGTCTGGTCATTTCATTTTCCATCTAACTGCAACGCGTGTTGAGCCATATGTAGATTTCTTTTAACGGTGGGATTTAAAATATATATATAGACAGTATATATCGCAAACTTAATTGCAAACATTTAAATACACCGATTTACCATTGTGCCCCAACACATTTTACGGAAGACTCCTGAAGATAGTTGTGTGTGTGTGTGCTGACTCAAGGTCTTAAAGTGGAAAAAAAGACAGCGAATTGAAAGATGCGTTTCATTTACCGTCACGTGGCAGGTGGTCCAACTCTTTATCGAGATATTCGCTGACGCAGAACGACCGCGCTGCGTCCTGTCGGTCGGTTGCCAGGGGGTTCGTTATTTCGGTTGCAAGCAACATCACCCGTGCGTTCGGTTACCGAGCTGTCGGTCAACTTGTTGCGACTTCTGTTGACAAGTCTGGGGACAATTCTGCTTCGGTATAGAAACGATCAGAGCCTTTAGGCATCTCGGTCGGTCGACTTTCTTGAAGTGTCGTTGTCGCTGCCGTTTACATTGTTGTTGTGGATATAGTTTTGTCGCCGCTCGTAATTGTTGCTGCTGTTGTTGTTGTTGGTAACTGGAAGGCCCCCCCCCCCACCCGGGGAAGGCCACCCCATGTCGGAAGGGCTACCGTAGTAAGGCCACTCAGCCATTTCACAAGCGGCGCGGTGCGTAAAGGCGGTGCCTCGAGACAGCTGCATCGCCCACGAGGGTAGCGGCGAGCGGGGGTCGCCAGGTGTCGCTGTGACATCGCCTTCGTGTGTCACGCGCACCGCGGTCATCTGCGGGCTCCCCCCCCCCCACCCAGCGCCCCCCAACGAGCCTCCTCCATCTTGGGCTGTCGGCTCGCGGCCACCAAGCAGAAAAGATATCGAGGTGGAGGTGGTGGTGGTGGAGGAGGAGAGGGGGAGAGAGAACAACAGACCTCCACATCGAAAACAAACTTCGCGTTGTGTGCACAAACAGTGCAAAAGTCACAACAGCGCCGAACTCGCCACTTCGCATCCAAACTCATCCCCCGGGCTGCTGCCCTTCGTTTTCTACCGGGGGGGAGGGGGGGGGCATCGCGGCGTCGTTTCGTGTCGGTCGATGATTTCGGTCTCCTTCTGTAGAAACGTCGTTCTCCGTCTCAACACGGGAGAGACGCACGCCATCAAAAGTATACATTGCGCTCTCCACCCCCCATCCCTAAAAAAAAAGAATCGAATGAAATTAATGATCTTTTTTTTTGCTGCTGCTGCTGCGCGAATCAATCCTCTCGACGGGGCCCGGGTACTTTCTATTTGTCTCCTCTCCGTGCGAGGAGGAGAGCGTTGCCTCCTCACAGCTGCGCGGTGGCCGGCCTCGGGATGATACCGGCCGGAAGGTACTGTTGCGGGTTGTACGGGCAGCAGCAGCAGCATCAACACCAACACCAGCAGCAGCACCAGCATCATCACGTCTCGGGGGGCGGTCGTGTCGCGGTGCAGGAGACGAATCCTCTCGCGACTACAAGCGGGACGGCATCGGCGACAGCGTCTCTCTGTGTTCCTAAAGCGGCGACAGCAGCCCTCGCTCGGGGTAGTGTCCAGCAGACAGCAGCAGCAGCAGGACGTCGAGACGAACGCGGCAACAGCTGCAGCAGCAACAACAGCGGCAGCGGCGGCAGTAACGGCGCCCTGCGAGGCGCTGCGACCGCCCTGCAAATCCGCGCCGATCGGGGTGACGCGGAGTCTCTCGGGCCAGTGCCGGGGCCCGAAGGGTCGCACGGACACCCAGGGTCGGGGTCCCATGTGGTGGTGGTGGCCGCGGCGGCGGCGGCGGCAGCGATAGGAGTAGCGGCGACGGGAGGGCGGCAGCAGCAGCAGCAGCATCGGGAGGAGCAGCAGCAGCACCAGATTTTCCCTTGGATGAGGAGGTCGCATCAAGCTCAGGGTAGGTAGGCTGGTGCGTGTGTTACACTCGTCGTATATAGGTAAACAATAACCCCTCGCAGCTTTTGTTTGTAAGAGCAATAAAACAGAGAAGGGGGGTGGTGGCAGCAAAGACGTGTGATCCTCCACTAGGCACGGGTGTTTACGTCCAATAATGAAAGGCGCGTCCACCCCTGCTTTTTTTTTATATGGGCTATAGAATGCTTCTAATGCTAGATACTATAAACGACGGAAGAAGGAGTGCTTTGATCAGAGCTAAGATAGAGGGGGGTACTCGTTTGGGTTTGTGGTGGGTGGTGGTGGCTGTGGCTGTAATATGTATATATGTGTACACACGCGCGCGTTTAGTTATATGCTGAAAACGAGAGTAATCATGCACACAGCAACATGGACAGAATTGACAAGAACACGTGCCCTTCAAAGTAAGCACGAATTGTTAAACTGACGATTGTACTGTCAGTTTAGTCGAATTTCACTGAAACTTGAAAAGCAGGTAAGAATTATATATTTTTTTTAAACCCTAAGTTTTGCTAATAACTTTTCATTACATTTGCACGTGATAAACGTATATGCAAGCCTCCTATATAGCGAGTGTTTGTGGATTATGGTTGTGTTGTCTGGTATTTGTGTGTGTTTTGTATATCTAGGTGCACCTAGCCTGGCACAAGCACCGTGGTGTCGCCATTGCCACTTCGTGGTGTTGTGTTTAAGTGTTGCTGTAAACTCTAGCTTTAAAATGTAAAAGTTTACATTGTTCCAAAGTAGCGCAAGTGAACGTATAGCTGGTTACGACCCCACCAACGCCACCAACAGAAACACCACCAATACGAACAACACCAGCAACACCACCACCCACACCACCAACACCACCACAGAAACACCACCAACAACACCACCAACACCACCAACCCACCACTAACTACACCAACAACACCACGATCAACACCAACAACACCATCAACAACAACACCACCACCACCACCAACAACAACACTAGCAACAACAGGAGATAATTGGAAAGTTCAACATTCAAAAGTTTATTTTAAAGTGCGCTCTCGTGCAAGCATCACGTGGCGTTATATTGGTCAGAAAGACATCAACTGAGCAACGCGATTTCACATCACAATCTCCGTCGCCATCTCCTTCAGTTTTAGAAGAATTCGTTCTACTTATAATGACACGAAGACAAAGATCCCCCGTATAGCCGTAACAGACTGTCGGGGCAAGTGCTGTTAGCGAGTAGCACCTATGAATGCCGGCACGGCACGCGAGGGGGTGGATGGACAGCACCACACCCGCCCGCCCGCCTTTGTCTCCCCAGTGGCGATGATACACACAGACACGTACTGTACTCTTAAAAGTAAGTTTTAAACATTTTACTGACTGCAGTGAGTATAATATGTGAGTTGATCATTTACTAAAGCGAGTTTAGTGGGGGAAATAAGTTGCAGCAAACAGTCCGTTTTATTTTAAACGACGCACCTTCATATGCATATCACGGGTGAAATATAATGATAATACAATTGAATTGGTTATGGTTACCAGTGGTATTAGTAAGTTAAGCGTTGTATTATGGCGAAAAATATTGTGTCAGTGTGAAACTCTTCACTTCTGCTCCAAAGCTATCCAAGCCAGAAAAGTGTTGCACTGAACTCTCCACCTCAATGCAGGCAAGGGGCGATGTGGCGTTATGAATGAGAAATTTACTTGGGCGACTTAACAACAACAACAAAAAACACAACTGTGGAAATGTTTACACAATGTCATTAAATATGTATGATCATTATAATAATATAAATGTGAGTTTAATATATATACAGTATTTCTGATCGAATTACTTTGCACGCATACAGAGAATATAAACAGTAAGGCCCCGACATAACGTTATATCATCACCATTCATGCACTGTGCTCCTTTCGTGTTCAATTAATATACCGGGTACATTATATACATATCGTGCAGACGTCACAATTCATTTAACAATGAACAATGCTAATTTATTTGAACTGTATCTGTACGCTATTCTGTAGGACCGTGTTTGAAGGTAAATACATAATTGCATTGGTTCAAGTAAACCTTGTGTGTATATAAATGTATACATATATGTATACGTGTGTATGTGTGTGTTCATAGGTGCTCGCTAACAGCACTTGCCCTAACAGTCTATTAAAGGCTTTACGGGGATCTTTGTCTCTTCATGTATGTACCGTACATGTATGTTGTGGGGAGCGGTGGCGTAGTGGTTTAAATGCAGGTCAAATATTTGAACCGATTCTGGGTCTCTCCTTGTCGGTGTGAGAGAAAAAAAATAAACACTGGGAAGACAAAGGCGGCCGGGCATGTTTTGGCCACACCTCGTGAGCCGTGCGCGCCTTCATAGGTGCTCGCCAACAGGACTTGCCCCAACAGCCTGTTAATGCTATATGGGGGACCTTTGTCTTGTTGTTGTCGGCGTGTGTGTGTATATATATTTAGTTTCCTGAGGAAGGGCAGACTGCAGATTTATCAACATCTTTTCCTGTGAGCCAGACACGTTATTATTTAGCAAAAATAAATATTTTTGGCGTGTGAAAGCTGTAGGTCGACTCAGCTTAAAACCAGCACCCGATGTCATGCGTGTGTCATCACCACCATCACCATCATCACCACCACCATCATCAGCAGCAGCAAATGGGGCCTGGCATTCCTGTTGCCGAGCGCATTAACCACTCCCATCGTGCGCTGCGCGGTCCTTCATAGGCGCTCGCTCACATCATTCGCCCCCAAACAATTATCTTTGGAATTTGGTTTAACACGGAGGCTTGGAATTGTTAAAAGGAAGGTAGAGGGCTGTGGCGCAGTGGTTAGTGCACTGCGCTATGAATGCGGCTACCTCGAGTCCTCGGGCGCGGTTAACATCAGTGGCGAGTGATATCCGTAGATCGTCGTGGCCAACCTCCCAACCCTCTCCCACCGCCATTGCCCACTCAATCTGCACTGACCGGCGTGGTGAAGTATGGTCAAACAACGCGTGACGGACGCGGCGTGGAGAGGCCTTCATCCAGCAGTGGATTAAGATAGGGCTACACGCGCTATTATACAATGAAGAGCGTGCACCCTGAATATGCATACAGACAGGGTGACTAGCGCAGACCATACTCATAGCTAGTATTACGGGGGGGGGGGGGGGGTGCTGTAGCATTTTGATTTATATTATTGCTACGCACATTTATTTACAGTATACCTCTTCCAAGACGCCTGACCAGCGTGGAAGAGGAGGCCAAAGAGCCACTCTTAAGGGACTCCACTTTGTGGACTTTTCTCGTGGGTGCCCTATCGCCTGCAGTGCCGCGATTTGGCAATTGCACCGCTGCCCCTTCACATGACAATTACTGAACAGCGCAGCACAGCGCTGTGCTGTGCATTATCTCTAAACAAAACTGCAGACCGGGACCCAAAGGCTGAGTTGTTCGTCAGCTGGCGGGAGAGCGAGCGAGGGAGCGAGAGATAGAGAGCACGAGAGAGAGAGAGAGAGAGCAAAATAAGATTGTGTGAGAGAGATAGCAATGTGTATTGTCGCCCCCCCCACCCCCATGCACTCCATCCGTACACAGAAGGCCAGGACTCACGACGAGCCCGTACCGCCTACTCGCGCTACCAGACGCTGGAGCTGGAGAAGGAGTTCCACTTCAACCGCTACCTCACCCGCCGGCGACGCGTCGAGATCGCCCACTCGCTCTGCCTCACCGAGCGCCAGATCAAGATCTGGTTCCAGAACCGCCGCATGAAGTGGAAGAAGGAGACCCGGACGGGCGGAGGAGGTCCGGCGCCCGGCCCTTCGCGTTGAGGGGTGTCGGGGAGCGCGGGGGGTGGTGCCCGAGTGGAGGCGGGCGGTGGAGGGGGGGGGGAGCTTGCTTGGAAGTGGGGGACTCCAGTCCAGGGTGTGTGGAGGGGGGGGGGGGGGGTCCTGTTGTTGCTGTGGCTGATGATGGGGGGGGGGGGGGGGGGGGTTAGCGCGCTGCGACTACGTACCCGGCGGACTCGGGTTCGATTCCCGCTCAAGGCAAACACCAGTGACGATTATCTGAACCGGTTCCTGGGTCTTTCGCCCCCCTTTGTCGACTCGGCCTCAAATGAGTACCCGGTGCGGTGTGTGAACATCGCCACTGGTGGAGACAAAGGCGGCCGGGCGTGGTGCTGATCCACTCCCCCCCCCCCCGCCTCCCCGGTTTTGCCGGGCCGGCCTTCATAGGTGTTCGCTAACAGCACTTGCCCCAACAGCCTGAATAGGCTACACGGGGGACATTTGTCTTTGATGATGACGACGACGATGCTGCGTTGGCCTCTCTCTACCTCTGATAACATTCACCGGCACGTTCGTTGAGATTGTCTTTTGCGTGACAATTGTGCGTGTGTGTCTTTACGTGTGTGTGTGTGTTCGGGACTGCAGTCTGTTAAGGCTATACGGGGGATCTTCGTCTTGTGCGTGTTGTGTAGCAGCCCATGATGTGGAAAAGACGTCGGGATATATTCCCACGTACGAGGATCGTTCATTGTCAGCTTGAGTGTTTTTTTTTCTTTCGGAGGCCAAATTTACTGAACTCTTTTGAATTAGTTTCGGCCGATTTCGTCAACATGGGAAAATCTGTGCCGTTCGCTTTCGAGCAGCTGGTTATACTTTCGCTTGGAAAATTTCCACGTGCTTTTACTTTCGAGAGAACGAGAACACGCGGGGGTGGGTGGTCGATGCTCAATTGACTCACTCACGCGCATCGCAGCTGACAATCGCCTCCCCACCACTTGAACGCGTGTCGCACTACGTTTGTATGTTTTAGTGCGATAGCAGAAAAAATTCACCCCGGTGAGATCGGATCATCTCAGCTCGACAGTGGCCAATGTTGACGCCCCCAAAAGGCTCGTGGTGTCAATGGCCCGACGAGCGACAAGTACGTTTGACAATTGAATTGTGTAATGTTTTTTTTGTCATGTTCGTTTAAAAAAATATGTTTTTTTTTTCACTTACAACTTCCGGCACTGCTAGAGTGTTACATTTTCAGCACGCTTTTTTTTAATTTTGAGCGCAGTACGTTCACAATTCGTTGGGTTTTTTTTTTGGATTGTTGCGAGGACTCACGCCTCTCCATGGAACTTCCGGTAGGCCTCTGCACATGGCCATGTTGGAATGTTGACGCGTGCCTCTGCACACGGCCTCTTGATTATTAAACCCCTGTTGTTGTCGTTTTGTAGTCGTTGTTGTGGTTGACGCATTCACGTCAAGTGTAACCTCTGTCGAGTAGGCAATTAGTGCGTTTACCTTGATGCAATTATGTGTAATAAGTGCCAATGTGGCTGCTAAACAACCAAAGCCAACCCTTTTCGTCTAGGCCACAAGGAGCCTTTTAATCCCCGAGGTGTAGGGTTAAGAGTTCGGGTTTGTGTTAGCGAGGGTTTAGAAGTAGAGTTAGAGTTTGTGTTAGTGTTAGGGTTAGAGTTTGTATTGTTAGTTAAGGTTCGGAGGTGTGGTTAGAGTTTGTGTTGGCGTTAGGGTTAGAGTTTGTATTGTTAGTTAAGATTTAGAGGTGTGGTTAGAGTTTGGGTTAGGGTTTAGAAGTGGGGTTAGAGCTTGTGCTGTTACGGTTTATAGTTACCGTTAGCGTAATACTGTTTGTGCTATGTTATAAGTGTAGGGTTAAAGTTGGGGTATCAGGGTTATGACGAGAATACAATGATCTTGGTGAGGCTGTGGCTGTGTTTGGGTTTCGGTTGGGTTCGTATTAAGGGCTAGGCTTAGGGTTATTCCAGAGTTATGGTTATTGTTTGGAATTAAAGCTATGGTTAAAATCAAGTTTATAGTTGGGGGTTAGGATTAGACTGTACCGCTATAGATCACAATAGGGTTATGGATAATGTTATGGTTGGGGTTATGAGGGGGAGTCGGGTTAGAGTGTAGCATTATAGTTAGAGACGGAGCTGTGTTCGGTTTCGGGTTTTTTTGTAGGGGGGGGGGGGTTAAGTTATGGCCAGGGTAAGGTCTCAAGGGGACTCTTCACTACAGTTAGACCTATGTAGCAAAAATGATAGAGAATGATCCATTTATGAATACTCAAAACATTTAAGCGAGAAATGTACATGGAACACGACGTTTCATTTCGAAGCCACCGAATCTCAATGCACCTTATCAAATGTAGTTAGCGATCTCCTTCCTTCGTACGACCATGGGAGCCTTCTCGCTTTCGCGCATATCCAAACGGCCTTTGTACTGTGTTCAGCGAGAGGGGGGGAGAATGTACGAGGCATGTTGGAAATCGGTGGGGTATCTGTGAATGGATCGCCCTGCATGATGCTCCCGGCACTGAAGAAATGGCGAGAGGGTCCGTAGGATCAGGGTTCAACGTCGCTCTTATATCTGTCGCTAATAGCTTTTGTTTTGTGCAATGCCATTGGCTAATAGCGATTAGCTGGCTACCCTATCTTGTTTGTTGTTGCCAGTATTTAATGTATGGAAACATAATAAGATTAGGTTTTGCCCTTTCTGGCAATAAAAAAAGGTGTTAAGATGTTCAAACACCAAATATAAACCTCTTAGCAAGGAATCATATGTGGCATTGTCTTTGTACTGTTCGCCTATTTGGCGTTCTCTGGTCTGACACTGGTGAGACGAGGACCTATAGAAGGCTGTCTCTGGTGTAGGCCAATCAGTTTCAAAGACAATGCCACATGTTATCATTATCAGAGCATGTTTTTTGCATGATCACCACAAGTACGTGTGGTTAATGCAGACACGATTCCTTGCAAAAAAGGTTTCTATCTCTGTGTATGAACATATTAACGAACACCTGCTGTTTTATTGCCAGAAAGGGTAAAACCTATTATTGTTTTTTTCAGATCCTATCTTTGTGTTTGTTCAAGTGTCCCGTTCTTCGATTGCGGCGTGTATTATATCCCCGCGGTGTACGGAGACACGTTTTGTTAAACAAGGTACGCGTGGCATATGCAGTGCGTTTATTGGATATGTCACAACGGTATTAATTCGTAGTAACAATAATACAAGTTTATATTGTGTATTTAATTACTGTATTAGCCAGTTTACTGTATCAACCTGCGGACTCACAATTACGAAGGACACCGAACTCCCTGACAGCGAGTCTTGAACTCTGGTGAACTCAGCTGATCAGTGTGGAATGAAGCAAGGTCGTGAATGATCCTGTGCTGCACACGTGGTCTGGATATCTTCCCCCACCTCTCTCAGACGTTCGTGCTGTCGACTCCATGCCCTCTGTTCTTAAACCCAGGCTGAAGGCTTTTAGTATCCTCTTGTTATGATCGACTGTCTCTCTCTCTGCTACACACCAGTCCGTGGTTGTGCTGCACAGCTCCTGGGTGTGTCTACGGGTCGGAGCACGTGTAGCGTTCGGCATGACGTCCGGCGTTTCGCTCCACTTGCCGGGAGTAGGTGGCGAGATGTTAACTACCTCGCCTGGTATACAGGAGGTCGTGGATTTGATCCCGACCCTGACGCCTGCTGAGTCCGCATCTTCCCCCCGTGGTGGTTGCGTGAATTTATTCTCCGGGTCCTCCGGTTTTGCCCTTCACATTTAGAAAAAATGCGTTTAGAGTATTTGTCTGCTATACATTTGCACGTGATAAGCCACTTGCTTCAACCATAATTTGTGATAGCCAGGTCGCGTCTGAAAAAGAGCTATAAATATATAGCTCAGTTGGTCTTGCCTGGTAAAGTAAAAAAATAGCTTAAGTTTAGGGTGTCTTTAGCCAAACGCCGGGGAATTCGCCTCGAGCCAGCACTACGCGCGTTTACGATCCGAAAAACAAACCACATCAGAGAGAGCGAGAGAGAGAGAGAGAGAGCGCGCCGTTCTGTGGTGTACTAACACCGCTCTCTCCGTAAAACTCCTACACGTGCTCGTGAATGTCCTCGCCCGTCGACAGTCGCCCGTTGTTGGCCACCGCAGACACGCGGTCGCGTTTGTAGGCGTCACGTGACGAGACGTGCGCTGTGACGCGGCCGCGCTCGCGTTGTTACCGCGTCGCTCTTTGGAGTCGTGCACGCGGAGTTGACGCCGCCGCTGTCAATCCGTTCACCCGGTGAACACAGCGGCTGCCGCTTGCTGCTGCCGATGCTGCTCCTACGTTTCGTTGGACTAATTCCACTCCGGGCCAGAGCAATAACAACAACAACGAGAACATCAACATGGGCGAACACATCGGACGTCGCGATGTAGCGTTGGAGAGGAGAACAAGAATACATTTAACAAATACAAATAAATGTCATTTTTGTTCGTATAAAAACACGGGGCTCGTCCGCTTTCCATTTGTCTCTCGAATTCCATGGGTTCACAACAGCCACCTGTTTACGTGTTGTTGGGGAGGGGGGGGGGGGCGGTGGCGCAGTGGTTAGCGCGCTGGGCTATGAACCCACGTGTTTACGTGTTGTTGGGGAGGGGGGGGCGGTGGCGCAGTGGTTAGCGCGCTGGGCTATGAACCCGGCGGCGGACTTCGCTCAATGATTCCCGGGACACGTATGCAAGTACAGTATGTTGAACTTATTTCGCGCCGTACGTTAAGCGACCGTGTTAATAGGAGGCGCGACCCGGCGAGCTTCAGTGGCGAGCGATGTCAGGAACGGCTCCCTCCGCTTGCTTCTCTGCCGCCCTGTACGACCCGTGCTGCCGAGAGTGGTGAAGTATGGTTAAACACCCCCCCCCCCCCCCACCACCACCCCCGCATGACCGAGACAGCATGGGAAGACAGCCTTCATCCAGCAATAGCTTTGACAACGAACTGACTATGACAGCATTATATATATGTGTATATATACATATATGTCTATATGGGAATATATTACACAGATCGAATGCACTGCAATGTTGTTACTGAGTTGCAGCGACGTTGCTGACTAACACGCGCTGTGTGTAGTGCAGCACTTTATATTGGAACAGGCGACCAAATTATTAAATAATAACTTATAATCGGCCGCGTGCAAACTCACAGCGAAAATAACTTAACGTTTAACAACCAACTCAGCACTCACCAGCGTGGTCGAGGTATGGTCGGGTCACTCGCGTGGGTTTTTGAGCTGAGTGGGGAGCGGTGGCGCAGTGGTTGGCGCATTGGGCTGCAAAACCCGGCGCGACGAGTTCAATTCCCGCTCACAACCAACTCACACAGTGTACGAATGTCTTGAGCCGCCCCTGGGCCCTCTCTGGGTCGATTCAGCATCAAATGAGAACCTGGTGCGGTGTGGAAAAATAAAAAAAGCAACGCTGAGGTGACAAAGGCGGCAGGGGATGTGATCCCTGGCAACGCCAGCCCCATTGCGTGCAGTTCCGGCCTCCACAGGTGCTCGCAAACAGCACTTGCCCTAACAGTCTGTTAGAGGCTATCTGGTGGGGAGGATCTTTGTCTCTGCTCGAGTTGAGAGTGGAGGAGGTAACGGATGGAGGAAGAGGCGAGGTTGCACATGTAATTATTATTTTAAGTAGATTTACATCTTTACGACTTGTTATGCCTTCTTATAGCAACGCCTACTTTATTTTACTTCGGTAATAACAGCGGTAAACAGCGTACACATATAAAACAAAGTTATCGTATTTAATTTAACCGCGTAACCTCACTGTTAGGATACATATATATGTAAGGCAATAATAGTGTGCGTGGCCGATGGGAATGTGTTTAACATTATATATGTTTTATTTGTTTACGTGGAGAGACAAATTGGGAGCAAGTATGAGAAGAATGTACTGAATATTTATCGAGTTAATTTTACTCTGCACAAGGACCCTGATGAATATTCCGCGTGCAATACGTAATGTCGTAAACATTGAAGTGTAGTAGACATCCCACCCGTCAACCATCATAGAGTTGGTACAATCGCAAGCCGCAGAGCTTCGTGATATTCATAGAGCAGTACAAACATGTGTGTTATTACAACCATGATTTATTTATTATGTATATGTATTACGCTTACACTTAAGCCTAATACACTATGTTGTACATACAGTATACATGTTGACCTATACAGTATGTAAAATCGTGAAAGATGGCTGTGACTGACGCGAATCATTCTTCATCCAGTAATCGATTAATCACGACTGATGATGATTGACGGCGACGATGGTGGTGGTTGGATTACTCGGCGACCCAAAGTTCCATTCCCGCTCACGGCCACCACCAACAACAGCGACGATTGTCTGAACCGGTGGTGGGTCTCCCCTATGTCGACTGAGCCTCAAATCGTACCTGGCCTAATGTGTAAACATCACCACTGGGGAGACAAAGGCGGCCGGGAGTGTTGCTGACCACCCAGAACCATCGTGTGCATTGCGTGCTGCTCGCTAACAGCACTTTTCCTAACACAGTCCGTTAAAGGCTTTACGTGTGGATCTGTGTCTTTTTGTACTACTGTTAACGTGCATTAGTTAAACAGGCGGCTTAATCTTATAGCGGAAGAGACTCCCATAAATTCACTGGACATGAGATGCAAATACATCAACATCTCTTCACGAGCAAAGTACAAAGAGAGCAACATCAACCCACAGACAGAGTATGAGCTGCGACCGTGCAGCGGAACCTCGCACGAGCCGCTGCAAAGCGGATATACATTTGGCTCTTCGTAAAATAATCGATTCCAATTTAAATAGCATAGTTCAATTTGCCTTGCGCGCGATAATAAAGATATATAGCTTTAATATCGTTTAGTTGTTATTATTAGTATGTGCTGTAACTGGCATGCAAGATACATAATTGTAACAAACATTTATAGACTTGCGTTTGGGTAATTATACGAGATGGAGCGGTGGCGCAGCGGTTAGAGCACTGCGCCCTGTGTGTGTGTTTGTGTGCGAGTCCGGCGATCTGAGTTCGAGTCCCGGCCGCAGCTACAACGACATCAGCGGCGGCGTGATACCTCAGTCTGGTCCGCCCCTCTCCATTCACCATCAACGGCGCACACACCAGCCTGGTGAAGTATGGTCAAACAAATTCCCCGTGACCAACACGGCGTGAGTAGGCATTTACGTCCAGTCATCCACGAAACGAAGATAATGGGACGTGGGGGTGATAAGTAGATTATAACTGACGATTCGGGCAATGGACCTTCGAGGTAGCAGAGAGATCATTGCTCGTCCAGTAGATGACAAGAAGATGAAAATGATTATAATGTTATATCATTACTGCATATATATGGATTTGCGTTCCTGCATACATGTTGGGAAACAAAGACAAATATCACGCGTATAGTCGTTAACGGACTGTTGAGGCAAGTGCTGTTAGCGAGCACCTATGAAGGCAGGGAACGGCACACGAGGGGGTGGGTGGCCAGCACCACGCCCGGCCGCCTTCGTCTGCCGAGTGGCGATGCTTAAGAAAAACACCGCACCAGGTACTCATTTGAGGCTGAGTCGACCTAAGAGAGGTCGAGGACGGGTTCAGATAATCGTCACTAATGGTGTTGGCCGTGAGCAGGATCGAACTCGGGTCGCCGAGTTCGTAGCGCAGAGCGCTCACCACAGACACACACACACATATACACACACAGACACAGATACACATAGACACACACAGATACACACACACACAGACACACACAGACACACACACATACCACCACAATAACAGCTTTCGCGGTTACGATTTGTCACGGCATTCTAAGTATGCGGCATTACATAAACCAAACCACTGCGCCTGGGAAGAGAGATGTGGAAATGTGGGTCGTGTAGTGTGCGTGCGTGTAGGGTGCACGTGTGTGTGTATGTGTGTGTGGAGCGGTGGTGCAGTAGTTAGCGATGCCGCACTACGACCCCGTCACGCTTCCAATTCGATTCCAGGGCCGCGGCTAACATCAGTGGCGAGTGATGTCAGAACCGGTGCTGGGTCACCTCCTCTTGCTTCGACTCGTTTTCAACTGAGTACTTGGAGCGGTGTGTGTATGTGTGCTTATACTACAAACAGTTCTGGTAAGACAAAGACGGCTGGGCATTGTACTAGCCACACGATCCCCTCGTGCACCGTTGCCTAGGTACTCGCTAACAGCACTTGCCCGAACAGCCTGAAAGATCCTTTACTGGGTATCTTATCTTGGTCTTTATTTCGTACGCGCGCGTGTGTGTGTGTATGTCATCGTCGATGGGGAGATAAAGGCGGTCGGGCATGGTACTGGCCACCCACCCACCATCGTGTGCCGTGGCGGCCTTCATAGGTGCTACCCGCTAACAACACTTGCCCCAACAGTACATTGAGACTATGCAGGCTCTCTTTGTCTTTGGCAATCTCTCAGAAAGGGGGGGGGGGCTGGGGACGACCGTACAAATGCGGTTTCTTTTAAGCGGTCGAGGAAAAGGAGAGGGAAGAGAAAGAATCCGAGGATGGTTGTGTGTGTGTGTGGGGGGCGGGGGGGGATAAAATAAATAAATAAACGCAGTTGAAAGAATTAAAAAGGGGGAGCCAAATTGCCCCAGGACCATATAACAGCTTGAGCTGCGAGCGTCGCTTGTTCTGTTCGGAGGCTCCGGCGTTTCCGCCGTAATTGCTTTATGGAGCTATTAAGGCGACATACCGGGCCGCTTTTATAGCTGCGAGTCGCATTGTGTTGCCTGCCCACGAGGTGGTAGAGTGCCCCCCCCCCTCCCCCCATAAAGCAATTTCGCGTGGAGACGGAGGCCCCGCATCAGGGAGATCAGAGCGCACCACCGAGAAGAAGCCATAAACACGCGCGCCTCTGCGTGGTGTGTGTCTCCTGTGTGTGTCTGTGTGTGTGTTTCTGTGTGTGTCTGTGTGAGTCTCTGTGTGTGTCTGTGTGTGTGTCTGTGTGTGTGTCTCTGTGTGTGTGTCTGTGTGTGTGTTTCTGTGTGTCTCTGTGTGAGTCTCTGTGTGTGTCTGTGTGTGTGTGTGTCTGTGTGTGTCTCTGTGTGTGTGTCTCTGTGTGTCTGTGTGTGTGTCTCTGTGTGAGTCTCTGTGTGTGTTTCTGTGTGTGTGTCTGTGTGGTAGTGTAGCGGTAAGCGCGCTGCGCTACGAACCTGGCGACCTGGGTTCGATTCCCGCTCACAGCCACTAACACCAGTTACGATTATCTGAACCGGTTCTGGGCCTCCCCTATGTCGACTCAGCCTCAAATGAGTACCTGGTGCGATGTGTAAACATCGCCACTGGGGAGACAAAGGCAGGCGTGGTGTTGGCCACCCCCCTCGTGTGCCGTTCCGGCCTTCATAGGTGCTCGCAAACTTACCCTAACACTCTATCGTGTGAAACGGAAGGCAGAGGGGAGCGACGCTCACAACAACGAGCGCAGCGCCGGGCGCCTAAAATGCAGAGCTGACACAGCAGTCAGTCAACCCATGGCAGCTGGACCTGTTCCGTAACATCATGCTAGCGGGCCTCCGATACGTGGCCTCAAAGTGTACCGTAACATCATGCTATCGGGCCTCCGATACGTGGCCTCAAAGTGTACCTAGCATGGCACAAACGTCGTGTTAACATCACCTCGAACGGCGGTTGTTGTTGTATAGTCTGTGTCTCTGTGTGTCCCGCTCACGGCCAACACCAGTGACGATTATCTGAACCGGTCCCTAGGTCGACTGGGGAGACAAAGGCGGTCACCCACGTGGACCGACCTTCTGGCTACCAGCACTTGCCCCAACAGTATGGTAAGGCTACACGGGAGATATTTGTCGTTGTGTGGGGAAGTGACTGGGTGAAGGGGGCAAGTGGCTGGGTGTGTATGTAGGGGGAAGTGGCTGGGTGTGTGTGTGTAGGGAGCGTGTGTGTGTAGGGAGCGTGTGTGTGTGTGTGTGTAGGGAGTGTGTGTGTGTAGGGAGCGTGTGTGTGTTCGTTGGAGCTTCTCTGCATCGGAATAATTTACGGGGAATGTTCGTCTCCGGGCAATTAGTGAATGCAAATGTGATGCGCGCTCCTTCGGTTCATGCTCGCAACAGACGCGGCGAGTAATGACCTGTGTGTGTGTGTTCATATATATGTGTGGGTGTGCGTGCGTGGAGTAGGCACCAGCGTACGGCACTACCACTAGAGTACAAATAATGCCATATATGTGCATTTCGAAATTCAGGGAACAGCGTTCCGGGCTGGGATGACCAGCACCACAACCGACTGCTGATGTTCGTTGTCTTTGTCTTTGGTGCAAACAAATACAAATACCCCCGTATAGCCTTAACAGTTCTATGAAGTGCATACGTAGACGCGAGCGTTGTATGCACCGCTTAACAACCATGAACGTTCTACCTGCGGAAGCTTTGTGAATCGCGCCAAGGTGTACACGCTGTACTTTCATTTACGTGCATATGTTTGGGGTGTATAAAATCACAAAGAACTGTCAAATATGCGTATGCTGCTGTATACAATATATATGTATATATACTACGCAGTGCTAGATTAGGAGTTCCCTTCATCTAGCAGTGCATAGATCATGACCGATGATAACACGTGTACTTGCTACAGTGGGTGAGCAGTGGCGCAATGGTTAGCACGCACTTGCGCGATGATCCCATCCACCTGAGTTAAATTCCCGGCCACGGCTAACAATCAGTGGTGAATTATAATTTTACATTATGTATTACTTAAATATGTATACTGTGTACCATCATAATATGCCAAAATCAATCCACTCTGGATTATGATCTTCCCAAGTTGTGACCATTTATCATATTACCATACCATATGTAAATATATCCAAATAAAGCAATGTATGTGTTCCATACACTACATATATATGCACGTACGTATATGTACTGTAAGTATAATGTTACACATCACGTTATTAGATGTGTGTTTGTTATAAGCCTATCATATTAAGAACTGGTTAAGTAAGCCACGTGGTAGGGAATCCAGCTTTACAACGATAACATTATAAACCCTGGTCGCGTTACTAACTTACCGTGCCGGTAGTGACCTTACCTCGGGTTTACACGTCATTGTCTTACTCTAAATGAGCATTGCACGGGTTCGTTACTCTCCGACAATTACTCAGGTTAAGAGGACGACTTAAAACATGGGAGAATGATTGGGTTGTATTATGCATGGTTTGACGTGAGAAAGTCTGCATCCGATGCAAAAGCATCGACGCTGTGCAGCACTCAGTGCACAGACGCAGCAGCGGTCGTAGTAGTCGTTGTAGCCCGCATGGCCACAATCGCTCTGGCGTGGCGTGTCTTTAATGGTTTCCTATGTGTATCTCTGTGTCTCTGTGAGTCTCTGTGTATCTCTATGGGTATCTATGGGTTCGCTATGGGTTTCGTGGTGTGGGTTTCATGGATACAATCGCACTGCCGTGGCTTGTCTTACATTTCATTTATATGAGCCTCTGTGGATCCCTGTGCATCTCGATGGATTTCTTTGTGTCCCTATGGATGCGCTTTATATTAATAGTAATTCAGTTGATAAAAAGAGCCTCTCATCGATAATCTCAAAACGCTGTACGAGACACAGCGACCAACACTCAGAATGATAGAAAAAATAACTCATTGAACTAAGAGTTCCCCAGATGTATGTTGATTCGAAAATAATCAATCAATCAATCAAAGCACGTTAAACTTTAACAAGAACCAAAAAAAAGCCCGCAACAACTACATGCCGGATTGGGTTACGTTACTTCCGAAAAAACATCAAGTAATCATTTACCGAAGAAGGATGACTCTTCAAGAGTCACTCAGGATTCGTCGGGGAGATGATGCGTCACGGTTGTGCCCGGTTCACGCGCGGGTGGCGAAAGTTAACTTTGTTGGCCAAAGCACAAACGCCGTGGTGGGCAAACAGAAAACGTGAGGCGCGATCTTCCATCGTTGATTTTGGGTGGATTCTCCTCGCCCATGGGGGGCACATGCCACATAAATGGAACTGTTGATGGAACCACCCTCGATGATGACTGTGTTGTTATTATTATTGTAGCCAGTGTGTAGTTCAATGGTTAACGTGCTACGCTGCCAATCAGCATCACGACAATATGTATGTATACTGGAGGAAACCGATGAGCTATAAAGCTCTTTTTCACAGATGTCCAAAACCGGCGACCCGAGTTCGATTCCCACTCACGGCCAACATCATCTGAACGGTGCCTGGGCCTCCCCCCAGGTTGACTCAGCCTCAAATGACTACCTGGTGCGGTGTGCAAACATCGCCACTGGGGAGACAAAGGCGGCCGGGCGTGGTGCTGACCACCCACCCCGTCGTGTGCCGTACTGACATCCATAGGTGCTCGCTAACGGTCTGTTAAGGCTATACGGGGGGATCTGTGTCTTTGCGTATGATACGACAATGAATGTGGCTTCTGAGTGAGATGATTATTACGATGATCGTCTTGCCCGGGCATCGACGACAACCGCTTCATCATCAGCGTGGAGAGGAAGACCCCGAGACCACCACCGAATTCTACACTGGCCCGTGGACTACGCAAGGTGGTGAAGTGTTTCGGCAGGTTCACTACGACGCGAATGTGGGATCATCAGCTATCATCACCGCCATGCAATTATCATTAGAACTCGTGACGTGCCCGTACGGGCATTAGTCATTGTGCACGCACGTGGCACGAACACCACCACCTCGCGGACACTTGCACATCCAACAGCATCGATCGCGGATTGTAAATGACCTATGATCCACTCCCAACTTTACATCATGAGGAATATCCAACGCCATGATAAGAGTAACAGTACAGGCCCGAACAGCACGAGTTGCAAACAAGACGCAAACATCTGTGCATTTAATAAAACAAACCATCATAATTTCCTGAAGAGGTTACATTATGGTCCTCTTGTCTTAGATCTCGCTCTCAAATGGAGACATACTTTGCGGCAATGAGCATTCCTGAATCCACTCTGCTGACGAGGCCAGATGATGGCGAAACAGGTCTACAAATGTGTATCTCACTGTTGCCACTACCGCTCAAGATGCGGTCGCATTGTCTCAAATCTGCTTTGATCATGTCCCAAGACAATAGAAGACCACAATGCAGTTCTTCACGAACGCTAAATAGTTTTGTTGGCTTATGCACAAAGTCTATGCTCGGTGTCGTTTGAAACTTCCGATGGCATCGGTGCCACGCATTAGCCACCGAATCATTGTAAAGTAACTTTAGATCTAATATTTAATCACAAATGCTCATGCAATATAAAATGCAAACAGATAAACAACATCAGCGTGTTAATTTTGACTATGACGATAGTAGGAATATTTAATTTGTACTATTGGGCAACTATATCATTTTATGAAATAGCATGCAATGTGGTAAACTAAATATTCAATGGAGACACTTCTCAGTACTTCTACACGGAAAGCCTGTGTATCGGCAGTACACGCAGTACATTTGTACAACCAGGAGAACGCAACAATGGCTATATTTCGAGACACGATATCAGTTTGCTGCCAGCGATGCTGCGAAACATTCCCCTTTGTGACGTCATCCCCCCACACTGCCGCCGTTCATTCGTATTTCTCCTTTGTGACGTCATCCCACCCACACTTACGCCGTTCATTCGTATTTCCCCTTTTGTGACATCATCCCCCCCCCCAGACTTCCGCCGTTAATTCGTATTTCCCCTTTGTGACGTCATCCTCCCCCCCCCCCCCCACACTGCCGCCGTTCATATTCGCATTTCCCCTTTGTGACGTCACCCCCCCCCCCCACACTTCCGCCGTTCATTCGTATTTCCACTTTTGTGACGTCATCCCCCCCCAGACTTCCGCCGTTAATTCGTATTTCCCCTTTGTGACGTCATCCTCCCCCCCCCCCCAAACTGCCGCCGTTCATATTCGCATTTCCCCTTTGTGACGTCACCCCCCCCCCCCCCCCACACTTTTGCCGTTCATTCGTATTTCCCCTTTTGTGACGTCATTTCCCACCGACACACTTCCGCCGGTCATTCGTATTTCCCCTTTGTGACGTCATCCCCCTCCCCCCCCCCACACTTCCGCCGTTCATTCGTATTTCCCCTTTGTGACGTCATTTCCCACCGACACACTTCCGCCGGCCATTCGTACATATATATATATTTTTTGTTAATCAGTGCAGTTAACAACGTCCACTCGCTTTACATCCACAGGAGTTGACACCAATTGTCGTCCTTGTTAATCACGCCCATCGATCCCCGCTTCGTGTTCACCGTGGCGAGCGTGAGTCAGGAGAGTGTTGGCAGTGGCGCTGCCACAGCCGGCAGCGCTTCCGCCGCGTTGTTGCGGAGGCTTTCGCGGTTCGAATTTTTTCCAGCGGGCCACCCTGATTAATACCGCGGGTGCGGCGGGTGCATTAATAACAACACCAGCAATAATAATACTAATACTACTACGCGTCGTCCGCTTCACTCGCAGTGGAAAGTAAAGACCTTCCTGACGTCATGCGCAAAGGGAAACCATCCCAACAAAGCCATTGGATGCCGGCGGCAGGGTCCAAATTTGGCAACATTTATTTTTTTAGACGCAAATTGGGATTGATTATGCACAGAAATTATCGCCCCCCCCACACACACTACTTGGATACTGATGCCCGTTTGCTGGTCAGGTGCTGTAGTCAACTTGTGCTGCACGGGGACAGCTGCCACTGGGGGTGCCCTTCCTTAATATGCGTTGAGATGTAACGTGAGGTGCTCTGGGACGCCCCGGCATATAGCAGGGCACTGTAATAACCTCAAATCATCACCGCTCAGAGGCAGCAGAGTCACTTTGCACAGGATGAACATACTGCACCACCGAGACACGAACAATCCGTGTAAAGTATAGACGTAGCTTTTACATGGCAATCTGACGTTTCGGTCAATGGACCTACGTTAATTTTTTCCTTACCTTTTTTTTGTTTTGCACCGCGTTCCTTCTTTGCTCAGTATCCGCATGTCTCCCTCGTCCCCAGGTCTCGTCTCAACTCTCGATCACCTGAATGGTTATAGAGATACACCGTCTTTACCAGTCGTTTGGCCATACTTCACCACGCTGGTCGGTGCGGGTTGAACTATCACTCACCATATTCTTGGTTCTTTCGGTAAAGTAACGTAGAAGGGAAACAATAAAATAATAAAAATATATAAAACAATAAAATTATCACGACGTTTCGACTGCAACACTAGCAATCATCATCAGGTGTGACAACCACAGCATTTTTTTCAAATTTTCTTGTTGTGGTTTTCACACCTGATGATGATTGCTTGTGTTGCAGTGGAAACGTCGTGAGAATTTTGTTTCATATTTTTATTATTTTATTGTTTCCCTTCTACGTGACTTTACCGAAAGAACCAATAATATGAATCCCTGCAGTCACGAAAGCTTTCAATCAAAATTTTATCGCTCACCACTGAAGTTGGCTGTGGCCCGGCAATCAAATTCAGTTCGCTGGTTTAATAGCGGCAGTGCGCTGACCACCACATCAGCAGCGATGGTTTTCTGGACCGGTCCTGGGCCTCACCATCCCTTTACCAACCAGCATTGACCAGCGTTGTGAAGTATGGTCAAGCAACCCCCCTTGACCGAAACAACGTGGGGGTGACCCTTCAATCCAGGCTATAGATAATGAGTGTTGTCATCATTATTGTCAACAATTGTTTAGATTTAGCAGACAGGCGTGCAGCATTGCTCGCGTACGGAACTCAACAATCTCCCGGCCTTCTCCAGACTACCAGCTCAAACAAGGAACCGAATGCTTGGCGACTTTGCCGTTGAGAGCAGCGACTCAAACAGCTGGGAAAAAACGTGTCCATCTCGAAGACGATCGTCGTATTCCGGGCTGGATCGCAGCTGAGCCTTGTCTGGACACCCCCAGAGTGAGAGTGTACGGTCACACCGCCACCGGCAGCCCGTAGCACGTCGGAGTCAGCCTGGTAGCTCTGTGTTTGAGCAACAACAAAAAAAAACGGCCTCGCAAATCGAAAAGTTGCCAAGCCAACTCCTGGCGGTTAACTCAACTCAACCAATCAACCTTCCGGTGGTCGATAAAATGAGGACGACTTTGTGAGGAAGTCTACTATCCTATTATGAATAGGCTCGGCCTCGCCAAAGGGATGCGGTGTTCTCACTGCTTGGCTTGGGGGTTGTAAATAGGGGAAGATCACGTCTCGACGACGATGCTTAATATATTCTGTTGTTGTTGTGACGGCACGCCACGGGGTGGGGGGGGGCGGGGGGATGTTGCGTGGTGCGGCACGTGGTTATGGGGAGTGAGTGGTGTGACCTCGTGACTCTGTTGACCACGATCCACGTGACCTGTCCGGTTCACGCATTGTTCGCGTCACGTGACGCCATCGCCATCACCACCCCCACGCCCCCCTCCTCCCCCCGGCCCCCTCCTCCAACCCTCGCCTCTTTGCAATGGCACCGGACATCCGGGCGGACCTGGAAATAATTAAGACACGAGAAACAATTAGACACGAGGAAATAAATGAGCCACCAAGGCAAACGGAGTTTAACTTCGTCGTTGGTAAATGTTTAACGTGAGCCAACGGTCGACAGCATTTTTTTTCACGACTCGCTTAATTGTTACAGCGGGGCCTGCGGCCACTACAACCCAAGGCTATGGACCACAGAGTTCTGAATTAAACCACCTTGCTCCCAGTCTACACATCAGAGACTCGCCGCTGCACCCATAAGGTCCCGTCCTCAACGTCTGGGGATTGCAGATTCCCTCTGCGTTCCCATGAGGCCATAGAGGCATCTTCGGTCATTGGGCAAGGGAGCTGTTCCCTGCGTGCCCCCCCCCCAACCCCACTAGATCTCAGCATCTCTTTCGGAGTCTGTGGACGTTTTAGAAACACGTCTTAAAACTGATTCATGCACTTTTGTTTATTCAACTTTTAATTCCGTGAGGTTTTTTTTTCATGCTGAATGTTGGTCGCTGCGTCTCGAACAGCGTTTTTAGATGATCGATGAGAGGCTCTTTTTTATATAAATTGTATTACTGTTAATATACAGTACATCCATAGGGACACGGAAAAAATCCATAGAGATCCACAGGGATCCACAGAGGCTCATAGAAATAAAATGTAAGACAAGCCACGGCAGTGCGATTGTGACCATGAAACCCACACCACGAAACCTATAGCGAACCCATAGATACCTACAGAGATACACAGAGACTCACAGAGACTCACAGAGATACATATAGGAAACCATTAAAGACAAGCCACGCCAGTGCGATCGTGGCCATGCAAGCCACCCTATGGACCGTAGAGCAAACACCACTGTAGCCTGGGCTCCTTCGGCGGCGGAGCAAAACGACACGAACTCTTGCAGCCATCTCGTTGTGACCCGGCAGCAGCAGCAGCAGCCAGCAGCAAACCTCCACATTAGCGTCGAGCTCGTGGGCCGCGCTACAGCCATCATCGTGCGCAAGGCTAAACTAAAATTTGCAACCCCCACTCCACCCCCTGGTTTATTTGCTTATTGCAAAATGTGTCAGATTTTAAGGTTTATTTCATTAAAATAAAAGAGTCATACTCTTATCTGTCTGCTATGGCGGACTGAACCTCGATTAAGTTTTGTTGAACTCTAACCCGCTTTTAGATTTCCAAGCCTCCCTTTATCTCTCAATGGGCTCTCATCTGGTTGCCATAATGTATATGATGAGCAAGAACTCAGTTCTGCCTGCGGAATATAAACACAAATTATGCTGTGGTCCATGAGCGTACACATTGGCTTCCCAGACCAATAGTACCCAGTATTGTTTGTTCATGCAACCACTCTGGCCCAATTTCGACCCCTTCGCGTCACGTGCAAATGGGAAGCCGATGGGCAATGCTAGAATATGTATTTAATTATCCATGTGCGTGTGGACACACAGAACGGAGTTTAGCTTGTATGTGATTTTATCCATGAACACGTAATGAGTTTAGTTGCAACTACGGATCATCTCCAATTAGCACGGTTGGCTACGTACGGTGAGAAAGAGTTTTAACATAATACAGTACATACCTATAAACACAAAGCAGAGTAATGGCTCATGATTCGCCCGTATGATTATGATGATTGCTTGACAAGCGTTACTTGAATTGAGAGTACAAAATAATAATGTGTTTGTCAGGATATAAATCACTCATTTGAAACGAAGCAGGCTTGGCACACGTTCTTAAAATGCAAACACTTTATTTGGTGATGTGCTGCTGCTACTGCTGCGTTGGCAGCGGTGCACACGCACAACTAATAATAATACACAACTCAACACACCAGTCAATTTCAACGCTGTCTTGAAAGAAAACATTATTGGTGACGTTTCAGACAATGGCTTTGACCCTTTATAGAAAATAAACCTTCATAGCACACTATTCTACGTGCTATGAATAGTGGGTCAAAGCCCGAAACGTCGCTGATAATTATATGTAGTCGCCTCTTAAGGCCATCGTGTTGTTTCCCACACATTCAAGAGCGCCCACGAAGTTAATTTAAAAAACGTCGCAGAGAGCTCACAGTATTCTGCATCTCGCCGTTACGAGCTACAACACACGCATACTCCTCGCAATGCCATGCACTCGCTGCAGTGTACGTGGAGTTCACTCATAAAATATTAATCATTCGGGACAATAGTGCACGGTGAAATATATGTGTGCGTGTGTGTGCAGGCTACAGCGGTGGTAGCCTTGTAAATTAATACCTGTGCCTTGGCAAAGATGAATTTCTTCCCTGTGTAACGTGGCTTAGATTTGAACTCTTTTCAAGTTAAATGATTGCCCAGCATAACTTCCAACAAAATATCCCGTGTGTGTGATTAATTCTAGGTCTGCAACAATAAAAACAAATGCAAAGATCCCCCGTGTAGCCTTAACAGACTGTTGGGGCAAGTGCTGTTAGCGAGCACCTATTAAGTCCGGCACGGCACACGACGGCTTGGGTGGCTAATACCACGCCCGGCCGCCTTTGTCTCTCTAGTTATGATATTTACACACCGCACCAGGTACTCATTTGAGGCTGAATCGACCTAGGGGAAGCCCAGGACCAGTTCAGATAATCTTCACTGCAGTTGGCCGTGAGCGAGAATCGAACTCGGGTAACCGGGTTCGTAGTGCAGCGCGCTGACCACTCCACTACAGTTCCCCGTAACTGATGGGTGCCGCGATGTGAACTACCTCGCCCAGTATACAGAAGGTCGTGGGTTCGAACCCGACCCTGACGCTTTTATATTTGGAGTTTGCATCTTCTCCCCATGGTCGAGCGGATTTTTCTCCAGGTCCTCCGGGTTTCCCTCCTCATTTAGAAACATGCGTTTAGAGTATTTGGCTTCTTTAAATTTCCACGTGATAATCCACTTAATTGGGCTATCATTTGTGGCCAGGTCGCTTCTGAAGAGCTTTATAGCTCAGTGGGCTTTACCTGGTAAAAAAAAATAGTATATATCCACATATATATGCAGTATATGTTATACATATACACTAAACCTGTTCGTACGATTTTAGTAATATACGGTGCAATTACATTGTGTTATTGTGGACAGTCGTACATTATACTACAAGTGGTAGTGCCTTACGCCGATAATCCCTGCATCAAGTCAGCCGAGCAGAGTTCCGGAAAATATCGAGTCAGAAATGACTCCCTGCGTATAAGCAATATACATGTAAGTGCGTATGCATTTAATTGTATATGTATATGCATATGCGCATGTATGCACATGCATCGTACGTGTGTAGCGAGTGTCGTGTTACGATTAATTCCCGCGCGAATCAATAAATCGTCGCCATGTGTACATCGCGTTTCGAAAAAAAAAAATCTTTTTTTTAATCGAAAATGTAATATATCGAAAAAAAAATCGATTTTTTTTTTGGCGCAATACCGTCTCGTTTGTATGATTACGACTCGTAAATTCTCTTTCGTTCGCATTGTCGCTTTGGTCTGTTCTGGCTCTGTTCTGCCTCGTCTGTGCTGCCATATCTGTTCGTGCTGTCTGTCTCCTTTGTAACGGACTCGTTGGTATTGTCTCTCTCCCTACTTCGTGTTCCGTCCACCCCCCATGTAACATTTTCGTGAAGCTATAAAATGAATAAACGTTAAAATAATACACAAGCGAGTCGATACAGCGCATCTTGAGCAAATAATATATATTTTTATCGATGAATCCATTCATCGTTAACATTCCTTCGAAACCAAAATAGATAATTATCTGCACTTTTTCAAACCACGACTCAATGGAGGACCTAATGGTCGTGGTGAGCTGGCCATACTTCCCCATGTATATGTAGAATAATACGGTTGGATAAGTACGGTGCGAAAGAAGTTCAACATACTGTGCATAGATGCATAATCCGTTATAATCGATGCCATCAAACCTTCCCACAAAGTGTTGTGCCAGCAACATTTTAGAACTCAACATTTTATTTTAATGAGTCAGCCTGCAGTTCACGCAATGTTGTTTCCATGTCCCACCGGACGAGTTGGTTCAAACCGCATAAAGCGATTTTTTGCGTGTAGAAATAGGTGAGCCGCATGTACAGTGCGAAATCGCACAAACCGAACCCGTATAATGCTCGTGGAACCTGTAGAGTACATTGCTTTTAAGGCGGTGTGTTGTGTGTGTGCTTTTTTTTACCACTACCCCATATAGGCAGTGCCTGATTATCCTAGTAGCAAAAGTAGCTACATATGTAGCTACGGGCCCCGCACTTTCAAGGGCCACGCGCTAAATCCTTTCAAGCTATCAATTCCGGTTCAGTGATTCTGCACTTGCTCTATAACTATAGTACTATACCGCATTCAACTTTTATGGAAGAACTGGTTGTTGTAGGTTAGTGATTGTCGCATTATCTGGCTGTATAGCACTTGAAAAAAATATAATTACTTTACTATGCCAGTAAAAAATTTTAAGTGTTTAAAATTTTCCGTGTTTTATTTTTAATTTAGGGCCCCTTCATAACATTTGCTACAGGCCCCGCACTAGTTTAATCCGGCACTGCATACATGCATGGATGGATGAGAGGGCTATATTCCTAAAAAGACCACAGCCGTTCGTGTGGCCAACCTCACTTTTATTGAGCCAGACTCTACAATCACTCTGAACGCTCCCTCCTGACTGAGAAACAGCCGCTCGCCAATTCTCCAGCATGGAACGGAAAACCCAGTCTATGTTTTTTGGGAATGTGTTTCGTTTTCTTAAAATATAACTTATGTATATATTTAAAAAAAACTACGTACAGTATATATAACGGCATTGTGCCAAAGGCTTTACCCCTTACAGTCCTCACGCATAGGCAGACCGCTTTGTTCCAATACTAGTAGATGCACGCTTCTTGTAAATTGCCATTAGATGGCATTATCGGAAAGTTGTTGAACATCACGTCGATCAAACAACGCGGCGAGCCGCTAATATATTAGTCACGGCTGATGACGATTGATGATGATGACGATGTTGATGATGGTGGTTGCAATGGGGGAGACAAATGCGGCCGGACGTGGTGCTGACTACCCACGCCATTCATGTGTCGTGTCGGCTTTCATAACTGATCGGTAGCAGCACTTGCCCCAACAGCCGGTTAAGCCTATCCGGGGGATCTTTGTCATTGTAATACGTAATTTCCCCTTTTGAGCTATGTATCTGCGAGGAACCAAAATTTACATATTCATTGGTGGGGGTCTAGACTTTTTTTAATACACATCACTCAGATTATATCTTCATTCCGCATTAATTCGGTATTCATATCGAATCTCCAAGAGCTTTACAAAAAACGCAAGTGTGTCGTATACGCGTGTGCTCGCCATCGTTTTTTCACGTCGGGTATAGAATGTGCAAGGAAAACACGGCGAGACGCATGCTCAGAATTAAAACCGAGAGGCAGGAAGATGAATAAATCGATGAGAGCAAAAAAGAAAATCAGTGCCATCGCATAATTGACTTTTCCGGCTCAGGTGTTGGTAGGACGCAGAGTTTACAATGGACGATGGAGACCGAGACTGGTGGCACAATGAGTGGCAGCCCAAAAATGAGAGGGTGGGGGTGGTGGGGGGGCTATGCTACCCGAGAGGGGGAGGAACTCGGCGCCGAAGAATTTTGACGTAAGATTTTCGTGACTGCTGGAATTCATATTCTTGGTTATTTCGGTAAAGTCGCGTAGATACAAAAAAAGATCTAAAATTTAAGTAAATAAAATAAGTAAACTAGATAGAAAAATAAAAGTTAATAGAAAAATATAAAAAGTAAAGTTAATTAAATAAAAATATAAATTCTTGGTTCTGTCGGTAAAGTCACGTAGAAAGGGAAACAATAAAATAAAAAATATATAAAACCAATAAAATATATATTTTAAAATATAAAAAACTAAACGTAAATAAAATAAATATATATTTTAAAAAATGAAAATATATTTTTTTATTTTACTTACTTTTCTTTTTTATATATTTTTATATCTACGTGACTTTACCCAAAGAACCAAGAACACGGTGCCGAAGTTGAAGCGAAGAGTTCAGTTCATGTGCGGGAGAGAGAGAGAGAGGTGAGGAGAGACCAAGGAATTGATTGCGGCAATGCGGCTTACAGTGATGGATGTGACAGCCTGGGAAAGGAATGACTTCATCCAGAAGTAGATAGATGATGACGAATGGTGGATCATGACGACGGTGGTGGTGATGATGGTTACAGGTTAATTCGATACACGCCGTACGTACCGCACGACAATCGAAATCGGGGTAATTCAGATGCATTGGGTGAGACATTAAAAGTAACGGCTTCATATAAAAAATAAAACCAGAATCGTAAAGTTTGACTGCGGGGGGTTCGTGAGGTCGGAATTTCCCACCCACCCCCCTCTCACTGAGTGATTGATCGGGGAGCGGTGGCGCAGCGGTTAGCGCGCTGCGCAACGAACCCGGTTAACCGAGTTCGATTCCCGCTCACAGCCACAAACACCGGTGATGATTACTTGGAACCAATCCTGTACGTTCCCCTAGGTCGACTCAACCTCAAATGAGTACCTGGGACGATGTGTACAGCGTCGCTTTTGGGGAGACAAAGGCAGCCGGGCGTGGTGTTTGTCACCCCCACCCCCTCGCGTCTGTCGTGCCGGCATTCATAGGTGCTACCCGCTAACAGCGCTTGCCCCAACAGTCTGTTAAGTCTATACGGAGGATCTTTGTCTTCTTTGAGGGCTTGAGCAAAAATAATACAATAAAAATAATTACCACAGTGCAGTAATACAAAACCAGAGAGACCTATTCCGCCACTTTTAAAACTAAACTAATTATTCAAGTTGTAATGCATGCCTGTTTGTGTTATTAGCTGTGTGATATACATTTTTGTTTTCGGAATGGTTTGTTTAATGCTCCGTGTGTGTCCCCCCCCCCCCCTCCCGGCTAAAAGCAACACGCTCTAACCAGCGTGGTGAAGTATGGCTAAACAACCCCTCATCACCCCACAACAGACACGGCATGGGGGAAGTCATAACCTAGCAGTTGAATTGACCAACCGTCTGTTCATGTACACGTGCTGTTGTTTTTGTATAAATCGCATTTATCCAAAAGAGCCACGCTGGGTCCCATTGCTGTTTCTGCAGGAATCCTGCCGCTACATTGGGTTCTTATTTTAAGATATTTTCAGCCAATTAATGGTGAGTCGTGTTCATCGTAGACGTGGGGAAGGAACCCGAATGGGGCCGCGGTGGTTATGAGATGGTAACTACCTCGCCTGGTATGCAGGAGGTCGTCGGTTCCATCCCGACCCTGACGCCTGCTGTATATTTGGCGTTTGCGTATCTCTCTCCCCGTGTGCGCGTGGATTTTTCTCCGGACCCTCGAGTTTCTCCCTCCACGTTTAGAAACAACGTCACGCGTGTAGGGTGTTTGATTGCCATGAATGTACCACGTGATAAGGCACTTCGTTGAGCTAGCGTTTGTGGCCAGGTCGCTTCTGAAAAAGAGCTGCATAGGTTCTGGATGTAAACCCACGCTCCCCTGCATACCAGGCGAGGCAGTTAACGTCTCGCCACTGCGGCGCAGCTTATCGACGCATATACATGCGCGAAATCGCACAAGGGACCGAATCCGCATAAAGCGAGGGAAACCTGCATCTTACCGGAGACCGAAGACTGACGTTGATTCGCTCATGTTGCGTGGGGCACCTTTCTAAATTGAGTTGGACTTTCAATTGTTAACGTACGGGACCAAAAGCTCGACCATACCCCCCCCCCCCCACCATGCTCCTACCCCATTCCCTCCTTCGCCAGCAGAGGCACCAACATCTCCTTGCGGGTCGTACCTGGTGGTTACAATAAAAATCCTCGGCCGAGTGATTGGTCGACTGCCCTGGCCATCCATTGGATTCACGGTCGCTACTTGCAATTTGTAGCGTGGCTGTGGGTGGATGGGTGGGGTACATGAACCAGCTGTCCGGGAAGGTTTTTTGCTAAATTTGTGGGGGCGTGTGGTTGGCGGGTCGAGTGGCGGGCGGGGGGGGGCGCAGCTGTTGATGTAGATTTAATTTTAGCGGGGGGTGGTGGAATGGGGCGGGGGGGTGCAGCTGATTGGGCGGATATAACTTTAGACTGTCCCTCGGGGAGCGGTGGCGCAGAGGTTAGCGCAGGGGCTCGGCAGCCTGGGTGCGGCTCCGGAGCCGCATGCAGTGGCTCTTCAAGGAACCACTTCGTGACGCGTTGTTTTTGTATTAAGGACGCACCCGTCTCGTGTTCACCACCACAGTGCATTGCGGCTCATTGAAATCTGGAAGTTGTTTTGTTCATATTTCTTTTCTGAATTCGAAAAGAATGCCTCTTCCTCTTATTTTGATTGGCAACCCCAGGGTTAGCGCACCTCGCCTCATCAACGCAGCGATCCTCGGAGTTGGAGATCCAGCCAAGGTGATATCCATCGGTGGCGGGGTGACATCTGAACCGGGTTTCGCCCGCCCCATCCGCCCACTTCCCTTCACCGAGCTGCACTGACCAGCATGGCGAGGTATGGTCAAACAACCCCAACTCCCCCATGTACAACATGACGTGGGGAGGCCTCCATACAAGATTGACACAACTATCGCCATAGAACAACAACAATAACAACAATAACAACAATAACAACAACGACGATGTCGTGAGACTGCGGTGGCAATGGTACATAGGCACAAAACGACGACGGTATACCCATTCTTCAACAAGAAGGGCCACTGCTGTGAAAAAGGGGCAGTGCCCGAAACGTCGCCTGTGATATATTTATATACCCCCTCTACCACCTTTCTATGGGCAGTGTATTACATATAATCTGATTAATATTTTTTATAGAGCGCCTTCACTCAACGCGCTTGACCGAGCTTACAAAACGGTGACAGAATGGAAAATGATGCAGTTGACAAGGGGCGTGCCACGATAATTGAGGGATGAGGGGGACGCGGAAGGGCTGTAGGGGAGGGACGGGAAGGAGTGGAGGGGCGAGGGGAGGGAAGAGAGTATCTCGAAAGTTGAACACTGCATCCATCGCGTGCATATGAATTATGTACCGTGAATTCACATCCCATGAGGATCTTTGGCTGAGGGCAAACAGCAGACCCCCGTCGCTCTGGGACCGCTGGGGTGGGTTCGAGGTTAGCGCCGCGCTGAGCCACGAACCCGTGCATACCCGGGTTCGATTCCCGCTGGCGGCCACCTGTGACGATTATCTGAACCGGTCCTGGGCCTCCCCACGGTCGACTCAGCCTCAACAGTCTGTTAAGGCTATACGGGGGATCTTTGTATGTGTGTGGATGTGTGTGTGTGTGACCTGGTCAAGGCCTATGATACCATCAGTACGCCTGGGCTCTGGGTTGTTCTTCGTGCTTTTGGAGTACCTGACCCTCTGCTCACGATCATTAAGGACGTTCATGATGGTGAGCGGGCCCGGGTAAAACTACGTGGCCGGGAGTCAGAGCCATTCCCTGTACACCTTGGGGTGCGACAGGGATGTCCTCTGGCTCCCATATTATTTAACATCTATTTTGACCACGTAGTTCGTGAAGCCTTCAATAACTGTACCGGGGGAATCTCAATATGGTACAGATATAATGGGAGGCTGATCGATGCCCGGGTGCGGTCAAGGGATGGCTCCCTATTGCTCAACCACGTTATGTATGCTGATGATTTGGTAATAGCTGCTCATTCAGAGCAAGAGTTGGAGACGCTGCTGCTGAGACTGGAGGTGGGGCCTTACCATCAGCCCCATCAAAACTAAGCGCCTGCCTGGGTATTTTGTACCATCGGACACTCCACCCCCACAACTCGCAATCGGTGATGGGGCAGGTGTGGAGAGAGTGGAGAGTTTCCCATACCTGGGCAGTGTGCTTATGACCGGCTCCAGTTTAACAGCAGAGGTCTCACTCCGAATCAGTCGAGCGGCAATATCTTTTCATCGGTTGCGTAACGCTGTGTGGAAGCTACCTGGTCTGTCGCTCCGCACTAAGCTTCAGGTCTTCTCGGCCACGGTCATTCCCTCCCTTCTCTACGCTTGCGAAACGTGGACCCCCCTAATGGAACATCTTCGCTGGTTAGAAACATTTAGGCTGGCCTGCCTACGATCCATCCTGGGTTTAACCAGACTGGATTGTGTGAGGAGCTCACAAATCCTTGAAAGATCTGGGCAAGGTCCCATCGGTGAGCTCCTCCGGCGGGCAAGGCTGCGATGGCTGGGTCATGTAGCCCGCATGTTCAGCCACCGCATGCCGAAACAGCTTTTGTTCGGCCGGATCGAGGGGGCTAAACGGGCGCGGCACGGGCTAGAGAAGAGATGGAGTGATGTGGTACAGGAGGACGTGGAGCTGAGTGGACTTGCCGATGACTGGTACCAGCGGAGTCAAGATCGGCCTCTGTGGAGGAGGCTCGTGAAGGACGCTACTGGGCAGTTGGAGGTAGTCGCCCTCCAACAACAACGGAGGGCGGAGGAGCGACGCTCACAACAACGAGCGGAGCGCCGGGTGGCTGAAGCACAGCAGGTTGGCACAGTAGGGGGCACAGGTGGTGCATCAGCCAGTCATCTCAGTAAGTCGACCCGTGGCACCTGGGTCTGCCCCGTGACCTCCTGCCAGCGGGCGTTCGACACTTCACGTGGCCTCAGGGTGCACATAGCCTGGCACAAGCGTCGTGGTGACGTCACCGCCACTTAGTGGCGAATGGCGGTTGTTGTGTGTGGGTGGATGTGTGTGTGGATGTGTGTGTGTGGATGGGTGTGTGTAGGTGTGTGGGTGTGTGGGTGTGTGTGGGTGGATGTGTGTGTGTGGGTGTGTGAGTGTGTGGATGGGTGGATGGGTGGATGGGTGTGTGGGTGGATGGGTGGATGGGTGTGTGGGTGGATGGGTGGATGGGTGGATGGGTGGATGGGTGTGTGGGTGGATGGGTGGATGGGTGTGTGGGTGTGTGGGTGGGTGGATGGGTGCGTGGATTGATGGGTGGATGGGTGTGTGGGTCGATGGATGGGTGTGTGGGTGGATGGATCGGTGTGTGGGTGGATGGATGTGTGTGTGTGGGTGGATGTGTGTGTGTGGGTGGATGTGTGTGGGTGGATGTGTGTGTGTGTGGGTGGATGTGTGTGTGGGTGGATGTGTGTGTGTGTGGGTGGATGTGTGTGTGTGTGGGTGGATGTGTGTGTGGGTGGATGTGTGTGTGGGTGGATGTGTGTGTGGGTGGATGTGTGTGTGTGTGGGTGGATGTGTTTGTGTGGGTGGATGTGTGTGTGTGTGGATGTGTGAATGGATGGGTGGATGGATGGATGTGTGTGTGGGTGTGTGTGGGTGGATGTGTGTGTGGGTGGATGTGGGTGTGTGGGTGGGTGGATGAGTGGATGTGTGTGGATGTGTGTGTGTGTGGGTGTGTGGGTGTGTGGATGGATGGGTGGATGGGTGTGTGGGTGAATGGGTGTGTGGGTGTGTGGGTGTGTGGATGGATGGGTGGATGAGTGTGTGGGTGGATGGGTGGATGGGTGTGTGGGTGGATGGGTGTGTGGGTGGATGGGTGGATGGGTGTGTGGGTGTGTGGGTGTGTGGATGGATGGGTGGATGAGTGTGTGGGTGGATGGATGGATGGGTGTGTGGGTGGATGGGTGTGTGGGTGGATGGGTGGATGGGTGTGTGTGTGGGTGGGTGGATGGGTGTGTGGATGGATGGGTGGATGGGTGTGTGGGTGTGTGTGGATGTGGGTGTGTGGATGGATGGGTGGATGGGTGGATGGGTGTGTGGGTGGATGGGTGTGTGGGTGTGTGGATGGATGGGTGTGTGGATGGATGGGTGGATGGGTGAGTGGGTGGGTGTGTATGTGTGGATGGATGTATGTGGGTGTGTGGATGGATGGGTGGATGGGTGGATGGGTGTGTGGGTGGATGGGTGTGTGGGTGTGTGGGTAGGTGGATGGGTGTGTGGATGGATGGGTGGATGGGTGGATGTGTGTGTGTGGGTGTGTGGGTGTGTGGATGGATGGGTGGATGGGTGGATGGGTGTGTGGGTGGATGGGTGAATGGCTGTGTGGTTGGATGGGTGGATGGGTGGATGGGTGTGTGGGTGGATGGGTGGATGGGTGTGTGGGTGTGTGTGGGTGGATGGGTGTGTGGATGGATGGGTGGATGGGTGGATGTGTGTGTGTGGGTGTGTGGGTGGATGTGTGTGTGGGTGTGTGGATGGATGGGTGGATGGGTGTGTGGGTGGATGGGTGGATGGGTGTGTGGGTGGATGGGTGTGTGGGTGTGTGTAGATGGGTGTGTGGGTGTGTGGGTGGATGGGTGTGTGGGTGTGTGGGTGGATGGGTGTGTGGGTGTGTGGGTGTGTGGGTGGATGGTTGTGTGGGTGGGTGGATAGGTGTGTGGATGGATGTGTGTGTGTGTGAGTGTGTGTCTGTGTGTGTGAGTGTGTGTGTGTGAGTGTTTGTCTGTGTGTCTGTGTGTGTGTGGCTCGAGATGTGCGGGGCGAGTGGAGTGGAGGCGACTCGCAAGGCCATCCCCTTGAGGGCGTGCGCGAGTCGGCGGAGAGGAGAGAGAGGAGCGAGGGGCAGAGGGGGTGGGGGTGTGACCCACGAACACTGAGGCCGCCCAGACGATGACACTGATAGTGGTGGTGGTGATGATGGTAACGATCATCTTCAGCATTGTTACGATCATTGTCGATTTTGTTATCATCGTCGTCATCATCATTGTCGCCGTCATAAATATCAACATCGTTGTCATACTCATCATCAATAATCCGAACCATCAGCATCGTCGTTATCATCATTATCACACCATCATATTTAACAATCGTCGCCTTAAATCCACCATCGTAGTCATTTTAAATCGTCATCAATATTAAGGACGATCGTAACCGTTGCCATAGCAATACATCATTATCATGCAATCCCTTTGTTACGCGCCATGCCATACGCACGTGCGCTCTCTACCGCAAGCAGCGCTGGAAACTGTTGCTATGAACTGGTTCGCTGTCTAATTACGTGCCTGTCTCAGTGGCTGCACAGTCAGCTCCTGACTATTGAGCGTCACGGTGCCTACTGCGTGTGTGTGTGTGTGTTGAACTTCTCTATCGGGACGAGCGAGCGTCCAGCAGCCAGCAAGGTAGAGAATCACACCGCGGGGGCTGACGTGATCACAACGTAGGTCAAGTATGGGCATTTCGTGGATGATGACCCCACCCCCTCCCCGCACGCGTCTCTGCGTGGCGTCTAACTCCATCCCAGCTTGGCCCGGTCGCTTTGAGCTCTGCTCCGCGTTGTAACGCGTGGTGAAGTATGGTCAAACACCTCCCCCCCCCCCCCCTCCCGCGCTATGAGGTGCGGAGGCCTTCATCCAGCAGTGGATTCTGCAGACGAGATGTACGTCGTTGTTGTATATACACTTTGTTAAAAGGCAATTATGTAGAATAGTTATTCACTTTAAACCTTAACAATACTCGCGTGTACACTGACTCATAATTCTCTGAGTAACATGGTTAGATTGTTAGAATGTTTGAGGGTTTGGGCAGGGGAAGAAATAAACCTTGGATCTATTCAGATATCTCACGCCACTGATGTTAGCCGTGACCCGGCATTGAACTCAAGTGGCCCGGGTTCACACTGCGATGCGCTAACCACTGTGCCACCGCTCCCCATCTCCAGGTCGATTGGAATAATTGATTTTAACCGTCTGACTACCCACGTACATAGTGATGTCTAATCACGTGAGCTACATTGTTGAACTAATATTGATCCACGCATTAAAGACATGCATTGTTAATACAGTACTGCTAATAATCATAATCGGCCATGGTCAATCCACTGCTGGATGAAGGCCTTCTTCCCACCAAACCGTCGCGACCTGTCACGACCTTGCGACGTAAGAGTCCAACTGAAGCACGTGCACACCAAGTCATTCCGTCGCTCCGTCTCCCCGGGGGACGTACTTTCTCTCT